CAGAGGCAAGAATACCAACAATTCTCATTTCATTCCAGGAAGGGTTGGAGCTGTGCAAGTAGCCATAGCCATCGTTGCTCCATCTATGAACAGGATTGCTTGTCAAGCCGATCTTAAAGTAGGAGCTGGAAGCCAGGCCCCGGATCACGAGGTTCGCACGTTCAAGTATTTTGCTCGCTAGTGATTGCGAAGGCAACAGGTCAAGCTTCAAACAAGGCTCGGCCATAATATCTTGGATCAAGCCCTTCAAGCGAGGTAGCTCAGCCAGGTGTTTTGGCACTCGAAGCTTCCAGTAATTATCGGAAACACAACGAACGACTGAACCATTCATCTCCCAAACAGCACCCGGAGGACGTGCGGCAATGGGAACGAGCGGGACTTCGAGATGGTCTGGTGGTGCCACCAATTCTTAGATGCAATTAGCCCCTAAGCCCTAAACCCTAAACTTTAGGCCCTAAACCCTTCCCTGAAGGGATACCCACATATATGCACACACACACATGATTATTCTGATGCAGACTGCGAGGGTCTCCGTCGTTGTCTCTCTCTGCCGTAAGCCAGCAGCTCCGTCAACCAAGCTTCCGAGTCGTCGAGATCATTAGATTCAGATGCTGATGTACCCAGAGGTTCGCCATGGCACGGCGACATGCATAAAACTTAAAGGGCTTAACGGATCTCTGACATCTAGAATCAAGCGGATGGAGGGCTGCACTGTCTGGCCCTACAGAGCAATAAATCCTTCGGAGTTTTGAGCCCCTGCACTAGCAAGCCTTCCCAAGCCCGCAAACCATCAAGGAGCCCAGCACGAATCGTTGACCCTGACTACCCTAAGCCCTAACCAATTATATAAGCCTTTGGCTGGAAATCCGAAAGCTTGAAGCTCACGACTCAACACCGACTCCATACTATTTATTTAAGACAAAAGCCGAGTAACTCGCACTACTCGTAGATGGATCCTGGCCCAGATCTCCTCCCATCATGCCCTCCAAGGTATTGAGGAACCAATCGCTGCGGACGAAGGCGGCAGCCTCTTCCTTTGCGGGATCTTTGCTAGGCCGGAGTTGTAAGTATAACAATATAGTCATTATAAGTTCGGGAATTCTCGCGATGCAAGTTTGTGGAATGAACTCAATTTCTACAATGGAGCAGCAAGGCTAAATCATCCAAACGTCAGATAGACCCTGCGGACTTCCGCTGATGCTGCTGCTGCCGCTTTGCTTCAACGGATTCTGGTCTTGGCACTTGCTTTGTTCCTGGGCATTGACTTGCGGGCTGCTGCTGAGCTGCTGTGGATGCTGCTGCCGGGGCTTGCTTTCAGGACCGCTTGGCACTTGTGGTTCCTGTGCCTGCTGGTTGACAGCTTGCGAAGCGTCGCTGCTGTTGCTGCTGCTGCTGCTGGTAGTGCTGCTACTTGCCGTGCCGTCGCTGGTTTGGCCTGCATCAGAACCATCATGGGTTTCCTGCCCTTCCTCCATAAGATCATGCTGTTCAGCAGGCTTGCCCTCCACTTTCGCTGCCCTGTCTGGCTGCTTTCCCTTGACCCTCCTACGTCCAATAGGCATATCCGAAGGCAATCTCTTCAAGGGTTTGTGCGCCTGAAGGGGTCAGCTAAAATACACACACAAAACAAGTCCTCCAGAAACCGCAGAATATCCTAAATATACGAGGACATATGGTGCCTTTGGGACCCAATCCCTTCCACGAAGAGTAGCTTGGGCATAATGTCGGAATGCGGCACTGAGTCTCAAGGAATTGGTTGTTGACCATGCATCCCGATCGCACTCTTTAATCTGCTCGGCCAAGTGCTGCTTGTCCTCCCACTATATTAGCAACTTATGACAAATAGCACTCACGATCTCGGTAGTTTCAGGATAGGACCTAGAAAAAGTTGCAAAATATTCGTAGCTCCAGTCCTCCCTCTTCAATATCGCTAGCAATGCCTTCTTGATAACAGTATCCGGAAAGTTCCACGTGGGGCTCAGCTGTCTGCAGCTGTTGAGGATGCCCTGAAACAACCTCGAAATATCCGATGCTCAATTGTATTAGCAGAAATGCAAACGAAAAGCCTCTTAGTTCTAACCGGACCAAGAAAACTCCAGAAGGTTGTGCTAATTGTAAATCCCAGTGTACGAAGAACAAAGTTTCTTCTTGTCCATAGATTTGATCGCACGATCAGTGGTGTAATTCGTGAAGAATCTCTTCTCAACGAAAGGACTCAAAGACTCCGCCAACGTGCCCGCATTCTTGAACCCCACTCGTGATTTGCGAGGCTCATCATCCGTCGACGGGGACTTCTTCATCGCCGCCGACTTCGCCGCCGGCTTCGCCGTGCTCTTCTTCAGAGCCGCTGGTCGCTTCATGTTTGATTTCGCCATTGCGAAACTGCAGCCCTGAAATAAAGCCCGAAGCTGAATTACTTGGACCCGGAGCCCAGGTTATTCCTGAAGTGTACCACGACAACGGCAACCGACTACTACCTCGACTGGGTTTTCGGGGTTTGTGTTCGTCGGGGTTTGTAGGCAAGGGTCCCCGCTGTAACATCTACAAGGCCCCTACAGAGCGAATTGCAGCCTGATCTGAATCACCCGGAAAATCTAAGTTCAGCAGATCCACAGGATGAATATATTGAGCTTGAAACCCAGGGAATACGTGCAACCTGCAGTGAAGTCCAAAGCCCAGTTTGCAAACCCTTTCCCGACCCTTTCTGCCCCTGTCAGCCAGAGCAGTTGCCGGCCACGGCTTTCGCAACGACAGCAACTGCATGTGACATGACGACGAATAAACGACGACGACGACGACAACGAAAAGTTCGGGATTCGTGGAATGCCACATGAGCGATCTCTTTCGAGTAGAGGACTAAATTCTCTCGCCCCCACTCATCCGAACTGCCACTGAAATTTCGTTTAATTTGCGATAATTGTATATATGGGTTTCTATTTGTATACTTTTGCCCCTGCATCCTGGTTTTAGGGTCGGGTATATTAAGGTTTTGAGCTTTAGGGCCTTAGGGTTCTTTTTTTTTTCTTTCCCGCACTGTTTGAGCCAAATGATTAATTTTTGGCATGCAGAGCCTTCTTGGCTACTTTTGTACAAGACCTACCAAGAACGGCATTTTCCAGCGACACATCAATTTCTAGAACCCCCTGTGCAAAAGTAGATCCGCACACAAATGTGGATCTAGAAAGTAGATCCGCCCGGGGGTCTGGGAACCTAACGGATGCGAAGCATGCGATGTTACATGATGTTACAAGTGCCGTATGTTACATGGCTTGCGGCGATTCGGTTTTTCGAGGCCATGCAGGAGAACAAGGACGGCCACATGGAGCCCTGCCGAGTGCAACTCAGCAACACCTTACTTTGTGCGAACTGTGAGGCAAGTCCTCCCTCGACCTCCTCAGCCCCGCCACGTGTGATGTGCAAGCCCCAAAAATGAACTCATGGCTATTACAGCCGAAGAAGCGTGCATGTGCCGCGCTGAGGCTCGCTGCTTGGGGCGGCCATCAGGCCCTGCAACAGCTTTTATGCGCAAGCTTCGCGTCTTCGCGCCATTGCTGGCCAGGACCGATGTGAGGAGACATCCAGGCTCGGAGGGAATGAGTTTCAGGTTTCGGGTTTAGGGTTGGGAATATCTCCTCGTTTTGTTTGTGTGAAGCTTGAGCACCTGCCTCATGTTGCTATTCCGTAGTACAAGAGCAGAATCAACTTGTACATACTCCGATGTGTTGATGCTCGAAGGCGCCTTGAGTCAGTGGGCATAAGGAACGAGTCCATTGAGCATTCGTATCCAAAGTAATGGTTCATGCGGCTTTTTGCATTCTTGACATGAGAGGGGCGCGACGGGGAGTTCCGAGCTGGACAAGGCTTTCGTTTTCCCGTTCGTTGCTTCAACTTTCCGAGTCTTCCGACCTCATAGATGTTGGTTGCTCAACAATGCAGCAGGCCATGAGGGAAGTTGCGGAGCAGCGTCAGCAGCGCCAGCAGCGTCAGCGCCTCATACCCAGCAGGACTTGCCGGTGTGCATTTGTGTGCCAGCACTGTAGGCATGATTTGTTTTCGAGTCATGAGGGCTAGCGCAGCGACAGCAGTGCGTCGCAGGTTGATTTCTATCGCAACTTGAGAGTATGACGCTCTTGAAATGCATCCCGCCTTCCAAACCCTCCTACTCCCGACAGCACTCGACTCCACTCCACTCCGCTTCTCCCTCCCTCCCATCCTAACCCACCCTCCCACACCGACAGAACTTGCAACTATGCAACCATATCAGCTGTCCTACGGAGTGTGCGCGGTGACACACGTCGTGGTGCCCGGCGGCTCCTCAGCCCGGAGCTCTCTTTCGTTGGCGTTGCGCGCGTGATCCTGGGCCAGAGGTGCGCAGCCCCACCGAACTTCGGCACGAGATCGTGTAAATCAAGGCCTCAGACCATGCAGATCTCAGCACGAACTTGGGGACACAAGCAACCGCTCCAAGAATGTTGCCTAAGATCGGTTTGGCTGCTGATTTTTGCGTAGTTTTGCCGCGATCTTCAGCTCAACCTCGGGTCAAAGGTTATGACGGTCATGAGCGTTGCGGCCCGTGACCTCGTAGCCTCCTTGAGCGATGTGAAGCTCTCATGGTGCAAAACTTTGCACACCTTGTATATGTACTCGTACAGTATGTACACGTATTTTCCATTTGTTTTCCTGGCCGGTATTTACATGTGCATTTGTTTTACTTGAAGAGCTCCCTAATTCGTTTGAGCCCAATGTGCTGACTTCGCTACTCCGCAGGCGCTTGTGTTTGAGTGAAAATTAGCATGGTAGCGGAGCACTTACCGGTTCATTCCTTTGGGTCTGGCCGACAAGCGTCTCCTGGGAGCCGAAACCTCACTCCCTTGCTACACGTAGCACAACGAGCAACATACACGTGCAGCCTTCGGGGTTCTTTGGAAGGGCCCAGGCTTTTCAAACTTGGAGTTTGTTTCTTCGGTGAAAGTAGCGCCTCTCGTCCTTAGCTTGCAGTGATGGCTGCATTGCCCGCGGCACAAGCTGTGCCAGATGATGACGATGACGACCTTGGGGGTCCAGTGCTCCCTCCTTTGCAGCCGATACGTGAGACTGTGTCTGGCAATCCTTGGCCCGCTGCTGGCAGTCCTGTCTCGAGCGATCAGGTGACCGCGTTGTTGCATCAGCTGGGCAACACAACAGCTCTCCTGGGTCAGGTGATAGGGCAGCGCAGTGCCAGTGATTCTTCGGTGTCGGGACTTACAGGCAAAGACATGTCTCGCATCATGCCCCGTCCAGAGCCCTTCCGTGCTGCAACGAGGGAACAAGAGCATTCTGCTTGGCCTTCATGGCTTTGGTCTCTTGAGCAGTATTTGACTGTCTTAGACCCCAAGTTCGGAGAAGAGATCGATCAGCTGAAATCAAACTTGCACCGGCAGGTGAACATTTCTCCCGCAGCCACAGACATCGTCGCGCGCTCGCGGCAGCTCTTCGCTTTGCTTTCGGTGTTGGTAAAGGGACGTGGGTTTCTTGTGATCAAGTCGGTCTCTGGGAACTGTGGGTATGAAGCCCTTCGGCAGCTCATTTCCTTGTATGCACCGCAGAGCAAGTCACGCAGCCTTGGCATCTTGACGGCCCTGACACAGGTCAGTGCTTTTAAATCTGGCGAGGCAATGTTTCCACAGATTCTTGAGCTTGAACGGGTTTTTACAGAGTACGAGAGCGCTTCGCAACAGCTTCTTCAGGAGGAGCTCAAGACGGCGCTCCTTTTGCGTTGTTTGCCCGCTGCTTCGAGAAATCAGGTTCATGCCACCCTTCCAGAGGATGCTTCGTATGCTGCAGTGAGGGACTGTGTCTTGCGCATCGAAAGGCAGCAGTTCAAGTGGCAAGGCGTTTCATACTTTGGTGATGTTGCGCAGGGTTCAGGTGCAGGGACTGGCGATGGTGCCACTCCTATGGAAATCGACCGTGTTGCCGGCAAAGGCAAGAAGGGCAAAGGCAAAACGAAAGGCAAGGACAGCAAGGGCAAAGGAAAGCATGGCAAGGACAACAAAGGCAAGGGTCATCATGGCAAGGACAAAGGTCAGTCCAAAGGCAAGCAAGGTGACAAGCCTGCAGCTGATAAGTGCTTGTACTGTAACAAATCTGGCCACTGGAAGCGCGATTGCAGGAAGTACAAGGCCGATTTGAAGGCAGGCAAGGTGCAGGCTGTGTCCGAGGAGTCGGGATCCACCGTCTCGACTGTGACTCCGTCTCAGAGTGCCTCTCAGGTTGGTGCAAAGGGTCGGGTTGCTAGGCTTGCGGAGATAGACCTTACAGCTTTTGATGAGTGTGATGAGGAGTTTCTTGATGGAGACACCCGCGTTTGCATGATCCAGTGCAGCATGGAACGAGTTGAGCACTTTTCGATCAGTGACCCCTCTGAGGTTCGTTGCAACGCTTGGGATACGATCTGTGAGTACGAGCTTTTGAGCCTCCCGAGTGATGTGCTCTTGAAGCTGTGTGAAGCCAAGCATCTGGAGTGCCATGCGGATCATTCCAAATCCCTTGCAGATCCTTTCAAGTGCCATGCAGATCATTCCAGATCCCGCGCAGATTCCTTCAAGTGCCCTGCCGATCAGTCCAGATCCCTGGCAGATTCCGTCAAGTGCCCCGTGCATCAGGTCAGTTGTGATGCCGATCAGGTAATGCCTCTCAAGCCGTCTGTGTATGTGCATGGCAGTGTCCGTGCTCTTGCTAGTGTCAACGGTGAAGACATCATTCTGGACTCAGGAGCGGATATCAGTGCACTCCCTGAGACGTACGCCCAGGTTGGTGATCCTGCTCCATCGTCGGCTCAGAGGTTCGTCGATGCTTCAGGCCGTTTGCTGCAGTCCAAAGGCATACGCATTGCAGAGGTTCGTGTTGGTTCCATCAGGTTCCGTGAAAAGTTCTTGATCGGAGGAGTTACTTGCCCTCTCCTTTCTTTGGGCAAATTGTACAAGGCAGGATTTTACGTAATCCCCTCCACTTCAGGTGACAGTGACGTCCCACGGAGCGGAGCGCAGTTATGTTTATCCTGGTCTAGCGAAGCCAAAGGCGAAGCGCACTTGCAGTTTTCAAACATCATTGTTTAAACCAATGTTTTAACTTTCGAGATCTTTAACAGATTCCGTTGTCATGCGATTGATGCTGTTTTTAGCATCGCCTTTTTGATGCTGTATTTTGCATCACGATTTCCTGCATGATGATTCGGTAGATACTTGTGCGATTTTGAATCATGTCACCCGGCGGTGTGTTCAAGGCTGAGATTGCCAAAATTTTTCGAAGGGGCTCTCTAGAGGCTTGTAGCTTTGCGTCTAACAGGCCCGAGTCCTCCGTAATCCGGTGTTGCTCTTAGAGCACCGTGCAAGAGCCCTGCTGGGGCTCGGATGGACTTCCGCCAGGCCCTTGAAGCGGGATCTTCGGCTTCTGCTTCCAGTGACACTCAAGAAGCCATTTCCCAACATTTGTACGACCTTTCGCTGCAAGTTGCTTCTCTTGAACAGCAGTTGCGTGCTGTCCGCGCAGAGCTCAGCGACATCCAGCGCGAGCTCCGGGGCCTGGAAACTGAAAGGTACCAACATTCCCTCCGCCTGGGGTGGTTGGAAAGGCTTGTGCAGCGATTGCATCAGGTGTTTCGCTCCGAGTCTTAAGCTTCTTTTGCGGGGGATGAGTGCTGAAGCTTTTTATCCGGATGAGGGGGCCGTCTCGCAGTCTGTTGAATCAGGTCAGCAGGTCCCTCTGTCTGCCATACCTGCCAGCCCAATATCTCCGAATTCGGCTGTGGTTGAGGGCACACCTGATCAGGGTCCCTTAGCGGCCTTCATGAGCAGCCCCGTCGAGGGCGATGATCTTACTGAGGAGCAACTGGGGGGCCTGATGTCTCGCGAGGACACGCAACCACCCCCTGACGACGACCCGACTGCAGGCCGTTTGGAACAGCAGCTTGCAGGCTTCATTGCCTACGGCGGCAGCGCAGGTGATTGGCATGCCATGAACTCAGGTTTCATTCTTGCAAGGCATTCCCGTCAGGCGATGCCGTGGGAAAGAGTGACGAGGCCCCGCTTGGGGCCCGGCTTCATGTTCCAGGAGCCGTTGCTAGGTCGCTTCGACGGTCTTAGGAGGGCGGCGATCCCCGCCCCTGCAGCAGGGCCGTGGGCTTGGGTGCCCAAAGGAACTGACGAGGCCAGGCGACTTCTCGCAGCAAGGTTTGCCAAAAGCGATGACATGCTTAGGCTTACCGCACTAAAGAAAATTCGGCTCATCGTGCTTTTCTTCCCGGATGACTCGGAGCTTGGAAGGAACCTCGTGGGTTCTGCAGGCTCCCTGGTGGAGGAATCCATGCTGACCTCGACCATCGAGGACACTTTTTCAGGCAGAGCCGCCAGCACCCTTCTGAAGCGTGCCTCAGATTTCTCAAGGTTCGCCAAGTGGATCGTAGCTAGCAAAGGGCGCCCTCTGGCGCCTTCCGAGGGCGAGTTGTACGCTTATATGCTTCACTTGCGACGAGAGAAGGCAGGAGCCACTGCCGGCGAGTCTTTTCTCAAGGCCTATAGGTTCTTTGTGCACTTGACAGGGGCTGCGCAAGGCTCCAGGATTTCCCCTCGTGTGCAGGGAGCAGCCAAGGCGATGTCCATGGGCAAACGGCCGCTCTGGCAAGCACCGCCCCTTCCGGTGGAGGCAGTGCGGCTCTTGGAAGAATTCGTCCACGACTCCGAGGATTATGCCAGGGCTAGCATAGCAGGGTTCATTCTTTTCTGCCTCTACTCCTCGGCTCGATGGTCGGATGCGGCTCGAGGGACTGACTTGAGCATTGACGTGGCAGGTAACGGGCTTGTCCTTCTTGAGTGTTCGACAAAACATTACAAGACGAAGGCCAAGGACCGAAAGGATACCGTGCTGCCTTTGATTGCACTGGGCAGTGGCTTAACTCAGCCCTCATGGGGACGTGTCTGGATGCGCAAGAGGGCCCTGGCAGGGCTACCAGACTGTGCCGTAATCATGCCGGCCATGTCGCCGGGAGGGAACTTTCTAGGAAGGGCCATGACGGCTGCGGAGGGTTCCTTGTGGCTTCGTGAGTTTTTGCACTTGCAGGGTTTCACGGGAGATCTTGAACAGTACAGCTCGCACAGCCTGAAAGCAACCGCCTTGTCCTGGACGGCCAAGAGCGGGACCATGACCTACGAGGAGCGCCTTACCCAGGGGCATCATTGCAGTCCAAAGCACGGCATGGCTCTCCTGTACTCGAGAGATGCGCTTGCAGAAATCATAGTGAAGGTAGCCAAGGTCGTGAGTGCTGTGAGCAGGGGAGTGCTTAGTCCCGATCTCCCGCGAGCCGAGAGGGTCGCAAGAGCTCTGCATGGCGATCCAGCCGATTTTGCACATCTTCCTGAGACGACGGCTGAGGATTTGCCGGCCGAAGAGCCTCAAGATGAGAACAACTCCGAGGCTGGGTCTGACATAACAAACCTCGACGGTCTCGAAGTGGACCTGGGGGCACCGGCCCCGGAGGAGGTCCGTCCACGGCTTAGCTGCACGTTCTCGGGAGAGACCTACATGCACGTCTTGAGTGGAGTGGTGCATAAGTTGGTCAACCCCGGAATTTTTAAGTGCGGCAGGAAGGTCACGGCGAACATGCGTTTGATGGGGCCTGAGGAGGCTCAGGAGAATGTCTGCCAGCAGTGCGCAGCTTGAAGAAAAGAGGATGTGCTCAGTTGATCGTTTGCTGATTTGCGACGTCGTGCCTATGCCATTTGAGATGAGGGTGCCCGGGCCGATTGAGATCAGTGGAGTGTTTCTTGCTTCGGAGCACAAAACCGGACTGAGAAGTGTCCGCAGTCTTTTGGCTGGGAGTTGCCAAACTGGGGCGAATCTCCCGCGCGGCCTGGTGAGCACCCAGGCTTGAACTTAGCGGGAGTTTGATTGGGGGTTTTGAGATTGCAAGAACCCCCGTGGTCGGCTGCCTTTGCCGGCCTGAGTCATGAAAAATACTATTGGAACGCGACCGGCTGGGATCGCCGGTTCCCGAAGGCCGCCTGTGATCGGTGGCGAAGAAGTGTGAATCCGAGACAAACGCGACCCACGGTTGACTTCGCCGTGGGTGAGACCTCGAAACCTGTATCCTCACCTGCCCAGGTCTCATGGCCGGACTTGAATCGGTGCCTGCCTTCACCGACCGAGCAAAGCAGATCGGCATCAGCGAGGATCTTCTGACCAAGCTCCTTGCTAAGAGCTTGGACACCTTCGGCAAGCTAGCTTTCGTGTGCTCGAGCAAACCTTCCAGCGGGGATGACACTCCTCTCTTCGAAGCCCTGAAGACTCTGATTGGGAGTGAGGTTCCAGTGGAACAACATATGGTGATCAGGCGATTGTGGTACGAGAGCCACGCCCACGCCCTGGTTGACTTGGAATCGAGGGCTTCGAGAACAAGTGATACAAGCCCCCGCGAGCTTCCGTTGGCAGAACGCCTAACACGCTTGAAACGCCAAAGGGGCGAGCTTAAAGGCCTCGAGATGGATATCCACACAGAACCTGGACACGGCCTTGTGGACCGCGTCCAGGCCATGCTCGATTCTGCACAAGTGCTGCACATCGCGCCGGAAAAGTGCATTTCCCGCCATGACGAAATCTTGGGTGAGAAGACGGAGCAAAAGATCTCTTTGGGAGCCGACGGGAACATCAAGATCACGAAGCAAGCCTCGAGTCTCCGTTGCGAGACTACCGGCGAGCTCAAGCTTCGCCGGTGCTTCCTGCGCCGGGCCTTAGCGTTCGATCAAGTAGGGCTCGCCTCCTACACTGCAATGGAGTCTTGGCACAACCGCATGTTCCAGGCTCTGCTTGATGTGCCTCCGGCGGGTTATCGCTACACTACCGTTCAGCAGCTGCTCGCAGCTGACCAGAAGCTTTGGCAGGTGGTGGCCCAGGAGAGCCGAGGTGACATCGTCGTCGGGGTCGGAGCCCCGGCTCCTCTTGATAAGCACATAGCCGCTGCTGCAACCAATCAGTTTGTGGTATCCTGCCACCTTCCTAAGCCTGCCGAGAACCAGGCACAACCGTGGAAGCCGAATAAGGGACCCGACAAGGGCAATCAGAAGGGAGAGAAGGGTAACAAGGGCAAAGGCCGCGGCAAAGGGAAGCAGAATCACAGCCAAGGCCAGGCTGATGCATCCTCGCAACCTTCCCTGAAGGAGCTGCTGGAGTCGTTACCCGAGGGCTGCGTGCGGGCCAACGATGATGGCCGTTTCATCTGCCCGTTTTACAACAAGGGGATCTGCCGCTTCCAGAAACGCAAGTCGTGCCGCTTCGGAAAGCATGTGTGCAACTTCAAAGGGTGCGGGGCCGAAAGGCCCTACAGTGAGTGCAAGCATTGACTAGCCTTGCCCTCGCCCGAGGTTTTCGCCAGGCAAATCTTAGCTCAGAGCACACCTGTTACCGCTGAGCAAGTGATGAGGCTTTTTGATGCCTTGCCGCATGAGCAGTGCGACCGAGACGCCGAAGGGCGCTCCTTTTCGGCAGGGATGTACTCTCGAGTTAAGGTGAGCCTTCGCAAATCTTGTAGGCTTTTTCCACAGACGGTGCGAGTGGTGAACAGGTTTGTAGCCTCTTTGCTTGAAGGTGCCGTTTACACGAGTTTTGCCATTTTTGATCAGGTGTGCACTCGGCCACACCGAGATTCACAGAACGCCTTTTCTCCGAACTATGTGATCCCCTTGACCATTTTCCAAGGGGGAGCTATCCGGGTAAGCGAGCCAGATCGGACCGTGGATTTGCAAGTATCCCGCGGGCCGGTCAAATTTTGTGCAAGAGAGTTCGAACATCGCACATTGCCAGCCACTGGGCGCCGGGTTGTCCTAGTGCTTTTTGCCTTGCAGGCCGGAGGGCGCCTCTCAGGAGCCGATCGCCGGGTCCTGCTCGATTTGGGTTTCCCCTTGCCTTCTGCTTCGCATCTTGCTTCCAAAGAGGCCTGCGCCTCGCAGCAGGTTTCAGTCACGGATCAGATGAGGCAGCTTCTCCCCTTGAAGACGCCCGCATCGCCTTCAACACAGCCTGAGCCTAGAGCATCTGTTCCCGCCCCCTCGGAGCTCTCCGAGACCAACTCACCTTGCCAGGCACCCAGTGCCGAGCGGCCCAGTGCCGCCTCAGCTTCGTCCGGGACCTCTGAGGGCTGCAACTCCCTGTCGAAACAGGGCCCCTCTTCGGTCCCCCGTCCGCCTTTGCTTGTTGATTGCCTCGCGGAAGCGGGATCCTTGTCGGCCGCCGCCATGCGGGCTGGATGGGATGCCTTGTCCCTGGGCCACAAAGGCGGTGCCCAGAGTCCTGCCCTCGAGTACCGCTGGACCTCTCCACTGGCGATGATCTGCAAGCTTTGCTCGATTTCGACCGGAACACTTTGGTTGACTGGTGGCATTTCAATCTGTTCTTGAAATCTTGCAATCAGGGGCGTGATTCCCGAGGTCGATCCAGCCTTCGTGATGCCTCTCACTTGCTAGGGCGGGATGGCCTTCCCGCTCTTGCCGCCTCCCTGGTGCTGCGTGACAACGGCTTGGTGCAAGCCGTGGTCGACCTGCTCTTCCGAGCCTACGAAACTCGAGCCCTCGTTAGCCTGATCGCTCCGGCTCGGAGTTGGGTCTGGAGCCTCCTCGCCCATTTTGTCAAAAGGAGGCGGCATTCGGGTTTTCTGCAATGGTTCTTCGCCTTAGCTGATCAAGAGCTTGACACTTGCATGTTCGGTGCCCCCTTCTTGACCTCGCTGCGGGTCCGAGCTGAGTCCTTCTCCTTCCCAGGCCTCAGTCGGTGTTGTGATAAGTCCCATAAACATCTACCTTGGGTTCCTCCTTCGACGGCTGGGAATTTTAGTGATGCCTCGCTTCCTGCTGAGTTATGCCAGACACTTTGTCGGTCCGCCACTGCCGCCTGCCAAGGATTGCAGCCCCACAAGGTTGACTTCCTGCATAGCCGGCACCTTCGAGCTCAGGTGCGAGCGGCAGCGGCCAATCAGCCCACTTTTATGCCTCCCTTAATCCCTGAGTTTCGGGTTAGGGTCCCTCTGTCCCAAGTGCCGGCTGGAGCTGATTTCAAGATCCTCTCCCAAGGCCGCGGCTCTAGTGCGGGGGATTGTGATGAGCCGAATCCTTCCAAAAGGGTCCGGACGCATAAAGACGGTAAAGCCGGGGACTTGACAGGAGTGTATTTTTCCATGGAGGAGCACCTGCATCGCGCATGTGAGCTACCTAGCCCGGCGGATAATAGCACTCGTTTGCCCGATGCCGTGCGTCGCAACATCTTTGCCATTCTTACGGAAGGCCCTGTGGCCGTGTCCAAGCGGCGGATGCTTGAACTGAAATCCTTGAATGACCGGATGGCGGCGCTTTCTGCGGCTGAGAAGGAGCTGCGAGCCAAGATGCATCCGGACGTGGAGCGAGTCACCAAAGGCAAGGCCCTAGCATTGTTTCGCGAGCTTCTTGAGGAAACGGGCTTTCCTGACTTGGCGGTGGTGAACCTCCTTTCCGAAGGAGTGCCACTGGTCGGTCAAGAAGCCGAGTCCCCTTTGTTTGCCAAACGGCCGAAGCCTAAAGACCTTGAGCCAGATCAGCTCAAAACCCAGGCCGCTCTGCGGAGGCGTGCGTTGCAGAAGATGAAAGGGCTTACTTCAGAGCAGGATTACAAGGCGATGAAGGCTGAGACTTCCGAGGAGCTGGCAGCGGGCTTCCTCACGGGTCCATATCACACGGAGCAGGAAGTCAGCGACATCTTGAAGACCGACGCTTGGTCGCTTTCACCCCGTTTCCTTTTGAGGCAGGGTGAAGACGCCAAGATAAGGATAATCGATGATTTTAAGATGTCCGCGGTCAACAAGGCTTTCGGCTCTTCTTCTTTCCTAGAGCTTCAGGATACGGATTACGCGGTCGGCCTCCTGAGGTTTCTTTCCCGCGTGCTGCAAGATCGCTCCAAGGTCCGGGTCCCCCTGTCTGATGGCACCTTGCTTGAGGGGGACTGGGATCCTGAGATGCTCCGCCAGCCCGCTCTGCTTGGTAAGACACTTGACTTGAGCAAGGCCTACCGCCAGGTGAGCATCCACCCTTCCACGAGGGAGCATGCTGTCCTTGGCTTCCCTAACCCACAGGGCAAGTGGGAGTTTTACATAGCCCAGAGCCTGCCTTTTGGTGCTGCTGCCAGCGTGTATGGGTTCAATAAAGTAGCACTTGCGATCCTTCATATCATGGTTGTCAAGTTCGCTGCGATCGCGACTGACTTTTATGACGACTACACAGTGTATGAATTTCGCCCAGCTGCTTTCTTGTTGGACAAAGTCCTGATGAGGCTGCTTGACCTGCTTGGGTGGTCCTATGCAAAGAGTGGGCGGAAATTTGTTCCCTTTGACAACAAGGTGGTCTCCTTGGGTGTTTCTTTGGGCCTTGACGAGATATGGCAGGGCACTCTCAAGGTTGAGAACAAGGCTGGACGACTTGAGAAAATTGCTGCACTCCTTCGTGCGGTAGCCCAGGGAGGAGCTGTGACGAGAAGTGATGTGGCTTCGCTTCATGGCTTGATTAACTTCGCCGGGGGTCTGATTATGGGCTTCGAGCTTAAGCCAACTTCCCGGATGCTGACACGGGCTTTGTCAGGGCCCTTCCTGGGCAACATGCCTGAGCTTCGGCAAGCTTGTGAGCTTGCTCTGGATGTCATCGCGCAGTGCAGGCCGAAGCGCTGCCCGGCCACGATTCTGCCACCTGTAGTGCTCTACACGGATGGGGCCTTCGAGAAAGGGCGAGGCACCTGGGGAGCGATTCTTGTTGATGCTTACACGAGCTCCCGATGGGTTTTCGGGGGAGAAGTTTGCAAACCGCTGATGGATCACTGGGGCAGGGAGGCTGGCGCCCAAGTGATTTGCCAGGTTGAAGCCTACGCTCTGGCGATTACCTTGTTCGGGATCCGCGGCTTCCTCAAAGGTCGCTCGGTCCTAGCTTGGATCGACAACAATGCATGCCTTTATGGATTCGTGAAGCGATACTCGCCTTCGGCTTCGCTGATGCGCCTCATCTCACTGGGGGCCTTGATGGAGAGCTCCATGGAGGCGCTTATGTGGTTTGAGCGGGTTCCCTCAAAGAGTAACCCGGCGGACCTTCCGTCGCGGGGACTGTTTGCCCAGGCCTGTGATCGGTTTCAAGCCATAAACAAGGGGGACGTGGCAGCCACCGACACGATGTTGGACTTCATTCGTGCTCCCAATTACGAGCCGAAGCTAGCCCAGGCGATTCTTTCGTCGGCTAGGCTGGAAGCTGATTGGGCTGCGGAAGCTATGCAGTGAGTTTCGATGCATCCTCCGATCGCGGGGCCGGGGGAAGATGGTTGCTCTGTTCGGCTGCATTTGCCGTTTATCTGTTCGGCTGCTCTTGCCTTACTTCGAGGGGTTGTGCTCGCCCTCTCTCGCCATCAACCCGGTAGCAGAACCCCCGTTGCAACGGAGAACAAAAAGAAGTCCTGTCCGAGTGAAGCCTTTCCTCTTTTGCAATATGATATAGATTGCTGGACTGATTATTCCTGTGATTGGAGATTGAAAATTTTTTCCATATACTTTTATATATCTTCGATTCCTCTCATATCTGAGGATAACTTAAACTGCAAGGAGACCAGAGAAACGTCCCACGGAGCGGAGCGCAGTTATGTTTATCCTGGTCTAGCGAAGCCAAAGGCGAAGCGCACTTGCAGTTTTCAAACATCATTGTTTAAACCAATGTTTTAACTTTCGAGATCTTTAACAGATTCCGTTGTCATGCGATTGATGCTGTTTTTAGCATCGCCTTTTTGATGCTGTATTTTGCATCACGATTTCCTGCATGATGATTCGGTAGATACTTGTGCGATTTTGAATCATGTCACCCGGCGGTGTGTTCAAGGCTGAGATTGCCAAAATTTTTCGACCACCCACCCGCCCGACATAGTTTCAATACGGTTTTTGTGAGACTGGGGGAAGATGGTTGCTCTGTTCGGCTGCATTTGCCGTTTATCTGTTCGGCTGCTCTTGCCTTACTTCGAGGGGTTGTGCTCGCCCTCTCTCGCCATCAACCCGGTAGCAGAACCCCCGTTGCAACGGAGAACAAAAAGAAGTCCTGTCCGAGTGAAGCCTTTCCTCTTTTGCAATATGATATAGATTGCTGGACTGATTATTCCTGTGATTGGAGATTGAAAAATTTTTCCATATACTTTTATATATCTTCGATTCCTCTCATATCTGAGGATAACTTAAACTGCAAGGAGACCAGAGAAACTTCATCCTCACCAACGGTGACTTGTCCGAACCGGTCAGGTTGAAGAGGCAATCTCTATGCGCAACGGGCAGTGTGCGTGTCCTCAACGCTCTACCTTCAGCAGTGCGGGCGGTGAGTGCAGCATTGCATGGTCCTTTGCTCCGTCTTGACGCGTCAGGGTGGCAAAGGATAGGTTCCAGACGCTATGCGCTTCTAAGTTTTGGGCAGTCTTATGTCGACAGCACGCTGATTCCCTTGACTGAGTTGCTTTGGTATCGCACCACACTTGTGCGCAGAGATGGCCGGTGGACTGTTGCTGAGTTGGCAGCCGATGTGAGCTCTTTGACGGATCGTACGTTGCCGCTTGGGCCCCCGGCTGTCGAACAGGTTATCACCATTGCTTATGACGATGCCTCCTTAAGCCCTGAGAGCCTAGGGTTTAGTCCCTCTGATTCCGATGACGTGCCAAGTTCCCAAGGTGCAGGTTCTGTTGAGGCTCCAGAGGTTCCAGTGCCAGATGCCGCCGATCAAGGTCCAGAGGTTCCAGTGCCAGATGCCGCCGATCAAGGTCCAGAGGTTCCAATGCCGGATGCCGCCGATCAAGGTGCAGGTGTAGGCGGACTTGAAGGTGATAGCGATCTCCCTCCGAGTGCTGATCAAGCGGCTCCAGTCGCTCCTGCGGCTGATGGAGGTGGAGAGGCAGCTCCATCTGAACGTGAAGTCATTGACAGCGTCACTGTGAACGGTGTTGTGATTGACCGCAACTCTTCGCTTCGGGTCATGCGTGCTGCCCTTGTCAGCCTTGGCTTAGGTAAGAATGGGTCTAAGAGCCAGTGTTGGGAGCGCTTGGTGCGCCATCTGCGTGAGGCCGATCTTTTGCGTGAGCATCAGGTCCATCACAACTTGAGCGCCGAGCTGAGTCGGCCACCACATGCACCACCAGTTCCTGCAGCTCCTTCGGACCACGACCGTGCACAGCATGTGCTGACACATGAACCGTACCAGCCCTGGTGCGATGCTTGTGTCAAGTTTCGCGGAAGACAGGATCGCCACTCGTCTGAGGCTTCGCATGATCCTGGCTCTCGGTCTGTCTTGTCTTTTGACTTTGGATACTGCTCGAGGGAAGCCGATGACGGTGTTCGAGAAGCCAAGGACCGCCTGACAGTCTTGTTTCTTCATGATCGTCACACCAAAGCCGTGCATGCCATTCCCACGGCTCAGAAGGGCGGCAGCAGCCTCAGTCACTTGGTTACAGAATCCGCGAGGTTTGCGATATGGTTGGGTCACCGGTCCCTCAGACTCCGATGTGATAATGAACCCGCTATCCTTGCGGTGCAAGCCGGTCTCTTGAAGGCCCTTCGGAATCTTGGTGTCGACGTGTCCAAGGACACCGCTCCTGTGGAGTCTCACCAGAGCAATGGTCCGGTTGAGCAGGTTGTTGGGAGCATCAGGCAGCATGCCGCTGTGCTGATGCATGATCTCGAGCAAGCTTGTGGAGCCAAGGACGATCAAGTGTTGTTTCCACCGCTGCATCCGATCTACGGATGGGCCCTTGCCCATGCCTGCTGGCTTCGCAACCGTTACACGCCTGTGCATGGCACTACTCCGTACGAGGCTGTGACTGATTCGGCGTACAGCGGCACCATCTGTCGCTTTGGAGAAAAGGTCCTGGGATACCTCAAACCTGACGGCAAATCCTCGGCGCGCTGGCGCCACGGCCTCTGGCTTGGAAAAGCTATAGGCAATGACACCCACATTTTGGGTTTGGTCGGTGGCGTCTTCGTGACGCGCTCAGTGCGAAGGTTTGAAGACAATTTCGATCCGGACTTTGCAGCCAGCTTTGATGTGAGTGTTTTCGAGCACGGGCTCTCGTCCATAGGGGGGAAACTTGTACTTGGGCACAAGAAGCCAGCCGCTCCTGTTGCAATGCCTATCCCAGCCTACGTTGGCCCTCCTCCTTCACCACCAGCCGCTGCAGAATCGCCTCTTCCTCACGAGGCTCGAGGCTCTCCTTCACAGATTGCAGGCACCGACTCGCCAGTGCGGTCTCCAACATCCATCAACTATAGCCCTTCTGATGGCATGAGTGCCACGGAGGATGCTGCTCTTTCTGATCGTCACGGTGATGTGTTGTCAACCGACGCAGGTGAACCCAGCTCAGCCGAGGCGGGGATGCCCGCAATTCCTGCCGAGGCGGGGGCAGCTGCCTCATCCGCTCCTCTGATTTCTGAGGCTCTGGGCCTCAGTGAGAATCCTCGACCAGCCAAGGTCGCCCGCAGGTCTGATGATGACCAAGTGATGGCTCTTGAAGGGCAGATTTCTTTGATTACCGCCCCTGGCTGCTGTGCGGATGAAGTGCCGGCTGGAGATTTGCTTGTAACCTCTGGAGAGGAGTCTCCCTGCGTTGTGCACATCAGGCAAGTGTGCTATGAGCATGAGGATGAAAATGTCACTTTGACGTTTGATGGTGACACGCTTGATGAGCTCGAGGACTACGACCAAAGTTTTCTTGAGGATCAGTCTGGTGACACTGAGTTGCTGCCTGAGCTGTGTCGGCCTCGCACTTCAGACATTGAGCCAGAGCTCTCTCCGGAGGAGCTCGAAGCTTTGGATGTGATTGCTGATGGAGTTGAGATTGCTAGGCTAGAAGGCATGACTGTGCTGCTTCCTGAGTCAGCAGCTCATAACGATGAGTACGCAGGTCAAGAGGCCACTCACCTCACCACGCGCATGGTGCGCACGTGGCGTGAGAAGGAGCTTGGTGGCTCCCCAGTTTGGTACCGACGCAGCCGGTATGTGGCCCGAGAGTATGCGTGGCTCAATGAGCGTCATGACCTCTTTTCGCCCGCCTCCACAGCACTTTCGAACCGCTTGCTGCCGATCCACTACCTGTGTCACGAGCCTGACCCTGATGATCCTTGGGTCATGGTCGCCCTCGACATCAGTGACGCTTACCTTAGCGTCAAGCAGACCCGCCTGGTCATTGTGCAACATGCAGGTGTCCGCTACGTGCTGGGACGAGTCTTGCCCGGACAGCGGGACGGATCCAAGGAGTGGTACTTGGCATTTTCCAGTTTTCTTGATGAAGCCTTGGGTTTTAAGAAGTGTGATGCTCTGCCCTCGTTGATTCGCGAGCCAGCTTCCAAGTTCAGTATGCAGATGCATGTCGATGACTTGTTGGGTGCAGGCAGCAAGCGCTTTCTTCTTGAGCGCCTCCGGCCCACGCTTGAATCAAAGTATCGTGTAAGCATCCGCATCCTTGAAGCTCCGGGGGACACGATTTCGTTCTTGAAGCGGCATCACACACTTCTTGCTGACGGTAAAATGCTGCTAACACCCTCGGCCAAGCATTTTGAAAAGCTGTTTTCTGTGATGAAAATCGATGAACGGAGTGCCCCGAAGAAGACTCCTTATGCGCCGCAGCTTGATGAAGTAGACAACAGCGAGCTTCTCGCGTGTGCAGATGCAAAGGCTTTCCGCTGTGCCATTGGCATTCTTTTGTACTTGGCAGTGGATTTGATCGAGTGTCAGGGTGCCATCCGTGCGTTGAGCAGCTACATGACTTCGCCAACACGCAATGCGCAGGCTGCTTTGAGGCATCTGTTGAAGTATCTTCTTGAAGGCCAACACCATGGTCTCTTGCTTGATCGCAGAAACTGTTACAACGGAGTTTCCGGCGAGATTCCGAGACCGAGCCAGCCGATCCTGTGCTTAGAAGCTTTTTCGGACGCCAACTGGGCGGCGCATCGCGGCTCTCGCAAATCGGTTAGCTCAGGGATGGTGTTCGTAGCAGGTTGCCTTTTGTACAGCTCTAGCCGGACACAAAGGGTGATAGCTTTGAGCTCAGGGGAATCGGAATTGCTTGCGGCGACGTCTACACTTTGTGACGCTTTGTTTGTTCGGCAGCTGCTCGCTTTCATTGCCGACGATGAGCCACCCCAGATTCATCACTTCCTCGATGCCAGCGCTGCCAAAGGCATCATGGAGCGAAGCGGCGTCGGCCGCGTCAGGCACTTGAGCGTCCGAGTCTTGTGGACTCAGCAGCTTGTTGCAGATAAGATCATCATGCTTCGCAAAGTTGCAACATCGATCAATGTGGCCGACCTGAACACCAAAGGCCTTTCTCGGAGCCGCATGCTCATGCTTTTGCACATCATCGGTTGCTGGCATACTGTGTATGAGTGCTTTGTTGGAGAAGATGAGATTGCTGATCTGCGCTACAAGCAGGCAATGAAGGACGCTGTGCGTGCCGTCCGCTCCGCATCGAGTGCGTCCGTGAGCAAGCCTATGATTCAGGCCATTGTCATCGCTGTTGTGAGCGCCTTGAGTCGTGCTGCGGATGATGCTGACGGTGACAACGGCTTGGATGACTCAGGAGCTGATCTTCCTGATTGGGCCAACCGGGTCCTTGTGTGGTTCTTGGGACTATGGGTCCGCGATGACACTGGTGTGTCTGTCATCGACATGCTTGTGCAGCCCCATGCTTTGATCCTTGCGTGCGTGACAATGCTGATGCTTGTGTTGTGCATCCGCACTTTGTGCTGCAGGGCATCTGATCGCGGCCAGGTCAATGTGCAGATCGCTGGCCCTCGTGATCATGTCTCCTTTCAGTTTGATCGCCAGCTCAATTTGCATGTTGGAGTTGGTGCGCCTGGGACCCCTACGAATCCTTTGTCTTTCGACTTTGACGGTGATGATAGCCCTCCACATGTTTTGTCCGCGCTACGCAAAGGTGCAAGGTCCAAAGCTTCTACCAGACCAGGTCCGAGGTACGACGATGAGGATGCTCCTCATCCCGACGCGAGTTCGTCAGCAGCACCGCCCACTGGTGCGATGAATGCAGTGCAGGCTCATGTGCCTCCTGCTGACCATGCATCAGCACCTGGAACACCAGCAGAATCCATGAGTTCGCAGCTTTCGACGCAGTCGTTCCGCGAGCTGCACGGGTACCCTATCGCTGTGGCACGGAGGATGAACCACCGTGGGAGCCTCGTGTGGGTGTCGCACACAGGCCGCTGCTATCATCGTCTCCGGTGCTTTAAGCTTGATGGGTGCGATCGTGTGAAGGCGTACGAGCGCCACGAAGCACAGAACCGCGGACTCCGTGCATGCAAGAAATGCAATCCTTGAGTGAAGGTGCATGATGTGTGTGCAAGGCCTCTCTTGATGGCCACTTGAAATGCTCTTGATGCGATGCTTTCTTGGTGTCAACACTCGGCGTGTTGATACCATGGGGTATCTTGTATATATCCACCTGTATTATAGCTTGGATGCTCATGTTGCTGGGTCCTGGACCCTTCTGTCAACTTCAGGTGCCGATGATCTTGAGCATATACTTGTATGGCTTTCTTGAATGTGCATATGGTGCATTTTGCACCATCAATACTAGTGACGCATGCCATTTTGGCAAACCCGAGAACGTGTGCACTTTGAGTGCACTGCTGACACGTGCGATGGCGATGATGCATTCCGCCACTGCTGAACCTTAATTAGGAGGTTCTAATACTTTTAGTCGTTGGTTGTAGGCTTCCTTCGGCTGTTTTGCGTACAGGGCAGACACTTTCTTGATTATCAACTTGTGTTTGCATGATCCCGCATGAATCGCGCTTTCCTCACACTTTTGCGTCCTGCTGCAAGTCAGGTTTTCTTCACTTCTGTTGAGCGCTGCCAGTTTGTTGCTTCATGACCACGGGTCCGCTTGCCTGAGTCAAGCTTGCAACAACAGGAGCACACTGCTGCGGCGAGTGTGTTTCTGTTTCCGTAGGCAGCTGGTGCCACTGCACCCGTAGGGTAGCAGGTAGCTGTAGCCAGTTCAAGCCAATGACCTTTCGGCAGTGCTTGTGAGCAGAGGTGCACGTTCGTGGGAGCAGTAACCACTAGTTACTTTGTTGTCGTACTCGTCATACCGGCCCTAGCGTAGCTTTGAGCTTTCGTACAGTGTGGCTTTGGAAGTCGCAAAGTTATGTGAAAGCATTGGCCTTAGTTGGACTTCGGCATGCTTTAGGCGGGGTGCAAAACTTTGCACACCTTGTATATGTACTCGTACAGTATGTACACGTATTTTCCATTTGTTTTCCTGGCCGGTATTTACATGTGCATTTGTTTTACTTGAAGAGCTCCCTAATTCGTTTGAGCCCAATGTGCTGACTTCGCTACTCCGCAGGCGCTCGTGTTTGAGTGAAAATTAGCACATGGGTGTCCATGGGAACATATGGGATTCAGAATGTATCAAGCATCCAGAATCTCACGGACCCTGAGTTTGCTGTCTCGTATTGATGCGCCTGAAATTCTACGACTCGCCGCACATAGTGGTCAGCTTTGTCTGGTGAGCTTCGTCAACGTTAATGACATTGGCCGCTATGCAGCTGCAGCACCTGACCCCGAGGTGAATGCCAATGTTCGCTTCTGTTTCGAGCTTAGCATGATGGCGCTTTGCATATTGGCGCAGCTTTCACTGGGCAAGGTGATGTAGAGAAGATGCCTGAGTCGTTGGCCGAACCTGCCCCGAATATTAGGCATGCGCCTTTGTGGCGGTGCATCTCATCATCAGATGTCCCCTGTGTAGTAGCACATCCGAGCATTGGGAATACCCTGATGTGCCACAGAGCGGATGTCTCGCTCGGCTGGTCCAGGTACGTCAGCCCAGCCCATTGTTAACTGTGAGTCCTTGAGGGCTGCAGCGAGGAGGATCTAAGAGATATCCAGCGTCGTGCGCCGCTCTCCCCCGCTTTGAAGGCGAACGTGTGATTAGTTGCCTGATTGAGCGGTGCAGAGCCACCGGCACGTAGACAATTCGGCAAGCCGTCGCCTGTGGGCCCACTCATGGGCCACAGGGGTTAGGGCGAACCCGGCTGCATGTGTGGAAGGACAGGATTTCATGAATGCCTCCGGTTCCAAGCGCAATGCAATATCCTCGATGAGGTGCTCATGGCCCCACGGTTTGGGGTTTAGGGTGCTACTCGATGTGTTTTCGTTGCAATGTGTGCACATTGTGACAGGAGGTGAAGTGGCATGTTGTGTGGGATATCCGCGGAACATGCCCCGAAACATCCATGGAAACTGTCGCGAAGCAAAGCCTCAACAATTCCACTTTAGAACGCCTGCGCAACCGTTGCAGCGCTGTTACAGGATGATTGGGCCAGTTGGACATGTGTTCACGAGGGTCGATCGGGGCTTTCCGAATGATCTCGCCCACTGGACTGACGGGAACAATTTGACCAGTTACCTTTGTGCCTTCTTGCTGTGATGGTGTGTGTGTGTGTGAGTGTTGACAGCACATCTCAGTTTTTCAGTTCTGTGAGCACTTCGCCGGTTCAAGTTGCCGACCCGAGTCTGGCCATCCAGCACAGTGCAGAGAACAGCGTGACGATCATTCCATGTCTAGCAGCGCCGGCCAAGTCGTCTGGAGGGAAGTTAGAAATCAATCCAACTAAACCCTGTGCAATCCTTGGGGGCGTGGGCATCGAATGCAGTTGAATGAATTTGCAGAGGCATGCGATGTGCATTTAAAGCTTACTGCTTTGACACCGAGCTCTTTACATAGTACAAGCAGTATGCCTCAAGCTTAACCCACGCTGCCAGCCATATTTGTGGGGCCCTGAGACTTGGGTAGTGCCACTCTCACTTGTCTGGGCGGCTGTTTCATTCTGTTTTTTTCTGACAGCCCACTGCTGGCCATGCTAGACCCTAAACCTTAAACCCGAGCCTAATAGGTATTCCGACTGTAGCAAGGAGGAAAAGGGCCCTCAAAAACAAAAAATCCCGAGCCGTAAGCCCTGCCCAGGTCTCCTGAGGTGAAGCCCTTCGCCATCGCCTGCACCTTGGAGACCCTGAGCCCCAGAAGTGCGAGCAGTCAGCAACAGTCAGCGTGGGAGCTTCAGAAAACTAGGGTACCTCGTTTAGGGGTTCTTATCATATGGATCCTCCTGTTTTATGAAACCACCACATCACTCAACCGACCAAGTGCGTCCAAAACGTCATGTAAGGATGCTTAATCGTGATTTTTTCAGGCGTTGGGCGGGCTGAGTCGAGCCAGTCCAGAAGCGGCGAAATGATCGCAAGAGGAGCTGAACGTCCCTGTAAACCGGATAACCACATCAGATTCACGTGTAAGGCAAGGCAATCCAGCAGTTCAGTCATCCACTGTAATCCATGCCGCTCAAGTCAAAGTCAATCCTTCAACCAGTGCGTTTTTCCGACGTGTCAGTCTACAAATGTCGAAGCTTCGAAGCGTGAACAAGAAGAGCAGTCGCAGCCAGGAGGTGCTAGGATGCTGTGAGGGCAAAGGGTGAGGGAGGAGGGGAGGTGCTGTGTCGGTTTTCTGGTATGTTCTGTTGCATTATGCAAATCTTGTGACTGTGACGGTTGGAGGCGTATGCTCAAAGGTGCATTGCTCTTAATTATGTTCTCCGAAAGGCACTCACGGATGGACGCGCCGTGAGTTCATATCGAGATCTAGTGAATCTAGTGCTACTAACGTGACGCAGCCATTTGATCCTCGCTAAGAGCAAAGGAGCTCAATGATGGATGCGTTCCATGGTCATTCTTGGGATGCTGGAACTTCCTTTCTATAGTATGAGAAGTGCCCACGGTGTTGGGTAGCAAATCCATGGTGCTGATTTGATCGGCCAAGTCTTTTAAACAGGCCAAGCTCATGGCACAAAGTGGAGTTTGCGCATCCTGAAAGTACACGGCCACTGGGTTGAGTGAGTGCTTCGTTATCTTGTGAGTTGTCACCTTCCAGAACCCCTCTGCAGGCTCGCAACGGCTTCGCGAAGCCGCCCGAAGCCATGCAAAGCCTCAGTTTCAGCTGCAGCCGAGGCTCATCCACTTGGCTGGGGGCATCCAAGAGATTTGCATCTAGTGATGCTCTCGATGGTCAGCGGCTCAGCTCAGCTTCATGCGTTGAGGCCTTGCTCCACGCTCCACCTTGCTCCAAGGAGAGCCGCGAGGAAGCTCGAGATCTCCGAACATCGACGATGCCAGGCACATGGGCTAAGCACTCGGAAGAGATAGAAAACAGAGGTCGCAGGGAGAGCCGCCTTGGGTCTCAGAGGGTTTGGAGGACACTCTGAGCCCCCAAATTGCCAAACTCGATGGCCTGACGTGCAGGGTGCGGCAGATGAGCTTAGGAGTGGCCATGGTCCAGGACTGGGCCCAAGGCCCAGCAGGGCTGGTGTTAGGGGTTGCAAGGCTTCGGGACGCCTCCGAGCTCCACCAATGGCAGGCGCCATGGCCCTGGCTGCTTCGAGGCTCAGGCGAGGATGCGTTCGGACGACAGGTCTCCGCCCTTTCTGCTGCACTGGCAGGAGGCATCTTGCTCGTGTGGATGGCTCTAGCCCGGGCCCGCGACAAGGTGAAGGGTGCGAAGGCACGGATGCTGCGCCCTTTGGTAGCAGGTGCCAACATTAGGATCAAGAGGTGCACTGACCCTGATCTTCCAGCGACAGCATGCATCAGTCGTACTCGCGAAATTACTTGACATGCAAGCAGCCGGTTCGATTCGATGAACCAGCTTTGGTGAAAGGCTTAAACTTAAATTAGGCATTGGCGATGACTCAAAGAGGATGACAACAAGACATCGCATATAAACCGGGATGCTTGGGCGAATCCAAGTGGCCCTGCAAAGGTTCGCATTCGCGATGTTTTGGTAAAGTACTCTAGAGTCTCTTCCGGGGTCTGGCTTTCAGAACTCATCTTACCTGAAGGGGCCACAGAGGTAAAACCTCAGGGGACATGCGTGTAATCCGAGCATGTTCGAGGGTCGATGGGACATGCTGCATGAAGGCTTCGTTAACGGCAACGGAAGATGAGAACGTTTGCATGACAAGCAAACTTTTTTTGGCAAGCAGGCCTTCTCGTCCTGCATCTGGAGCAGTTGCAGTCAAAGAATGTCTGCATCTTCAGCATTTCATGCTCAAAGCCTACAGCACAACATTTGCGTCTTTACCTAGTTGACTGTTGACAGATTGGTGCAGTAAGGGCTTTGAGTTGAATCGTTTTGCTTTCTTGTGAACGTCGGAGGAATAGACGACAAGTAAATCTTTCGTGGTACTTTATGTCTGGATTCATGACCTGCCAAGAATTCTCTCGGGTCATATAGAAGAAACTGCAACTGAATCGGATGGAAGACCTGACAGGAAAGGGGCGCTTGCAAGCGCATGATCGATCTCGAGAAATTGCCAGGCTGCGCTTCCCCCAAGTGTCGGTTTTTGTTTCGTTATTGACTAGACTATAGACTGGCGTCTCTTGTAACTTATAACAATGATGTTTTCCTGCCTTCAGGTGACCTGGCTGGTGGAGATCTTGCCTGGTGCTGCTACCTCAGTATGTCAGTTTACAGTCAGATAGCGCATGTCTATTCTGCCACCTGAGACGATTCGATCGTATTGCCAATTGGCCTCCGTTTGTTTCAGAAGCCACAAAGGTTCAAGTTTCAGCAACGTCGCACTTGGAAAGCTAGAGCCATGCAGAAGTACTACGTCAAGCAGGCGGATGGGACGATTACGTGCCACTACGGCACCGTGCCCGGAGCTGGCGCACCTCCCACGGCTGTGCCCGCCGCCTTGGCAGCAGTGCCGCGTGCCTCCGTTGCCGCAGCTGCGGCACCTGGCCAAGTAGGCCTCTCGATGCAACAGCCGTCAGTCGCAAAGATATCGGAACAGGATGTGAAGAAAGCACAGGCAGCGTGGGCCAGCGCCATCAAGAGTATCTCCAAGACCTACTTGGATGGCGGAGACTACGTTGCAGCTGCTGCCAAAGCTGCTGGCGAGCTCTATGGCTATGGCCACACGGACGTGCTCTTCAAGCCCACTAAGGCGGCCGAAGTGCCGTTTCGACCGACAGCCGGAGATGCCATGTCTTATTTTGTTGGGCACAGCGCGGTCAAAAACGGCTATCTTGAGGATGCTGGCTTTGCCATCAACGGCGGCAAGGGATGGTCAAACGTGGTCTTTCGCAACCACCAGGTGGACGTTAGTGGTAACGTTGCCATTGCAATGGGCAACTACTTCTTCACCAGCGCTGCAGACGGAAGCAAGACCAAAGTTGAGTATACTTTCGGCTACAAGAAGAATGCAGACGGCAAGGTGCGCATCTTCCTGCATCACTCGTCAGTGCCCTTTGCTTCTCCCGCTGCAGAGATTTCCGAAGAAGAAGTGAAGACTGCACAGGCAGCATGGGCTAGCGCCATCAAGCGTATCTCCAAGACCTACCTGGATGGAGGAGACTACATAGCAGCCGCTGGCAAAGCAGCCGGTGAGCTTTATGGCTATGGACACACGGATGTGCTCTTCAAACCAACCAAGGCAGCCGAAGCACCGTTTCGGCCAACTGGCGCAGATGCCATGTCCTACTTTGTTGGGCACAAAGCTGTCGAGAAGGGCTATGCTGAGGATGCTGGCTTTGCCATCAACGGCGGCAAGGGATGGTCGGACGTGGTCTTCCAGAACCACCAGATTGACATCAGCGCCAAGGTTGCCGTTGCCATGGGCACGTACTTCTTCACCAGCGCTGCAGATGGAAGCAAGACCAAAGTTGAGTATACTTTCGGCTACAAGAAGAATGCAGACGGCAAAGTTCGCATCTTCCTGCACCACTCGTCAGTGCCTTACCGTCTGCCTCCCGCGGCTCCAACCGCAAAGATTTCCGAAGAGGAAGTGAAGGGCGTGCAGGCAGCATGGGCCAGCGCCATCAAAAGTATCTCCAAGACCTACCTGGACGGGGGAGACTACGTTGCAGCTGCTGCCAAAGCTGCTGGCGAGCTCTATGGCTATGGCCACACGGACGTGCTCTTCAAGCCCACTAAGGCAGCCGAAGCGCCGTTTCGACCGACAGCGGCAGACGCCATGTCCTACTTCGTTGGACACAGCGCGGTCAAGAACGGCTATGCTGAGGATGCTGGCTTTGCCATCAACGGTGGAAAAGGATGGTCTGACGTGGTTTTTGAAAACCACAAGATTGATATCAGCGCCAAGGTTGCCGTTGCCATGGGCACCTACTACTTCACCAACGCTACAGATGGCAGCAAGGCCAAGGTGGAGTACACGTTCGGCTACAAGAGAAACGCCGACGGCAAGCTGCGCATTTGCCTCCACCACTCGTCCGTGCCTTTCAGTCTGCCTCCCAGCTCTCAGCTTTCAGAGCAGGAAGTGAAGAATGCACAGGCAGCGTGGGCCGGGGCCATCAAGAGCATCTCCAAGACCTACCTGGATGGAGGAGACTATGTTGCAGCGGCGGCCGAAGCAGCTGGCGAGCTCTACGGCTATGGCCACACGGACGTGCTTTTCAAACCAACGAAGGCAGCCGAAGCGCCGTTTCGACCGACTGCCGCAGAGGCTATGTCCTATTTTGTTGGCCATGAAGCAGTAGAGAAGGGCTATGCTGAGGATGCTGGCTTTGCCATCAACGGCGGCAAGGGATGGTCAAACGTGGTCTTCCACAATCACCAAATCGATGTCACCGGCAATACTGCCCTTGCCATGGGTACCTACTTCTTCACCAGCGCTGCAGATGGGAGCAAGACCAAAGTTGAGTATACTTTCGGCTACAAGAAGAATGCAGACGGCAAAGTTCGCATCTTCCTGCACCACTCGTCAGTGCCATTCAGCGTAACCCCAGCCTCTCCAACTGCAGCGATCACGGAGGCAGAAGTGAAATGTGTGCAGGCAGCATGGGCTAGGGCCATCAAGAGTATCTCCAAGACCTACTTGGATGGAGGAGACTATGTTGCAGCTGCGACCGAAGCAGCTGGGGCGCTGTATGGCTATGGCCATACCAATGTTCTCTTCAAGCCAACCAAGGCAGCCGAAGCACAGTTCCGACCAACAGCCGAAGATGCCATGTCCTACTTTGTTGGGCACAAAGCGGTCAAGAACGGCTATGCTGAGGATGCTGGTTTCGCCATCAACGGCGGCAAGGGATGGTCGGACGTGGTCTTCCAGAACCACAAAATCGATATCAATGGCACTGTCGCCATTGCCATGGGCACCTACTTCTTCACCAGCGCTGCAGATGGAAGCAAGGCTAAGGTAGAGTACACGTTCGGCTACAAGAGAAACGCCGACGGCAAGCTGCGCATCTTCCTGCATCACTCGTCAGTGCCTTTCAGTCAGCCTCCCGCCACTGCAACTGCAAAGATTTCCGAAGAGCAGGTGAAGAGCGTGCAGGCAGCATGGGCAAACGCCATCAAGAGTATTTCCAAGACCTACCTCCATGGAGGGGACTACGTTGCAGCTGCTGCCAAAGCAGCTGGCGAGCTTTACGGCTATGGCCACACAAACGTGCTCTTCAAGCCTACCAAGGCAGCTAAGGCACCGTTTCGACCAACTGGCGCAGATGCCATGTCCTACTTTGTCGGACACAAGGCGGTCGAGAATGGCTATGTTGAGGATGCTGGTTTCGCCATCAACGGTGGAAAAGGATGGTCTGACGTGGTGTTTGAAAACCACAAGATTGATATCACTGGCGATGTTGCCATTGCCATGGGCACCTACTACTTCACCAATGCTGCAGATGGCAGCAAGGCCAAAGTGGAGTACACGTTCGGCTACAAGATGAACGCCGACGGCAAGCTGCGCATCTTCCTCCACCATTCCTCAGTGCCGTACAGCCCTCCCACATCCTCTGCAGCTGACGAGGTTTCAGAAGATGAGGTAGTAACCGCGCAGGCAGCATGGGCCAACGCCATCAAGAGTATCTCCCAAACCTACCTTGATGGAGGAGACTACGTCGCTGCTGCTGGCAAAGCAGCTGGTGAGCTCTACGGCTATGGTCACACGGACGTGCTTTTCAAACCAACGAAGGCAGCCGAAGCACCGTTTCGGCCAACTGGCGCAGATGCCATGTCCTACTTTGTTGGGCACAAGGCGGTCGAGAATGGCTATCTTGAGGATGCTGGCTTTGCCATCAACGGCGGCAAGGGATGGTCGGACGTTGTTTTCCAGAACCACCAAATCGATGTCAGTGGCGATGTTGCCATTGCCATGGGCACTTACTTCTTTACCAGCGCTGCAGATGGAAGCAAGACCAAAGTTGAGTATACTTTCGGCTACAAGAAGAATGCAGACGGCAAAGTTCGCATCTTCTTGCACCACTCGTCAGTGCCTTTCAGTCAGCCTCCCGCCGCTCCAACTGCAAAGATTTCCCCAGAGCAGGTGAAGAGCGTGCAGGCAGCATGGGCAAACGCCATCAAGAGCATTTCCAGGACCTACCTTCAGCGAGGAGACTACGTTGCAGCTGCTGCCAAAGCAGCTGGTGAGCTCTACGGCTATGGTCACACGAATGTGCTCTTCAAACCAACCAAGGCAGCCGAAGCACCGTTTCGACCAACTGGCGCAGATGCCATGTCCTACTTTGTTGGGCACAAGGCGGTCGAGAATGGCTATCTTGAGGATGCTGGCTTTGCCATCAACGGCGGCAAGGGATGGTCGGACGTTGTTTTCCAGAACCACCAAATCGATGTCAGTGGCGATGTTGCCATTGCCATGGGCACTTACTTCTTTACCAGCGCTGCAGATGGAAGCAAGGCTAAGGTGGAGTACACGTTCGGCTACAAGAGGAACGCCGACGGCAAGCTGCGCATTTGCCTCCACCACTCCTCAGTGCCTTTTGCTGATGGAAAGCCCAAGGCGCAGCCTGCGGTGATGGGCCGCGCTTTTGAGACTCTTTCCGGTGCATAGCTTGGAACTCTGAGCTTTTTTTGGCGGACTTTTAATTCCCGCTCCTGAAAGACGGCTGGTTGAATCGCCGGCTTGGTCTGTTCTGGGATCTGCGTTTTTTCTGATTTTTCTTGGCCGTGGGGCCATATGTGCATTTTTGTCAAGTGATTTTGCCATCAAGGCTTTAAAAGAACTTGCCCATGGGCGAGGACGAGGAGTGGTTTCCTTTGAGGGCCCAGGCCCTTCAATCAAGCAGCCAGCACAAGCTTGCGTTGCGCTTGTAATCTTCATCCGATTAGTGCACTCTGCACAACTGCAGCCGTGAAAAGTAGAGTCGAAAATTCCGTGAGTGCAGCTTCCTCTCTGAGTTCTGAGCCGGGCTAAACCCTTAACCCTATAAGCCCAGATTCCTTTCTGAGCCCGGCCAGCTTTGAGCGTTGAGGTCTGCTGCTTGCTGCTGGTGGGCTCTTGCAGGGCAGCTCTGACGCAGGGCGCAGGGCACCGAGGATTCCCGAGCGAACGTGGTTTACAGCTTGCCCTTTGACCTTGGTTTCATATTTTCAGTGTCCAGAAAGCATTGTTCGATGCGAGTACTGAGTAGTGCAGCTCCAGTGTAGCGATACGTTCTCGCAAGGTGCCTGATCTGCAAGGATGGCAGTGCTCATGCTTGAAAGGCCCCCACCGCTTTCCGGTCCCAATCCTCCGCGTGCGGCGCTGGAGCCTCAACATGCTTTGCTTCACAACTGCATAAAGTGCAGTTTCGCGCATGGAGCGCAAGGCGCATGCCATGCGCTGGTCTCGGTGCTTCGCATCGGATCGGGTCAGAAGGGCGCCTGGAGGCTCCCAATGGTTTCGCTGTTTGAAGCTGACGGTTCCTCGTGTGTTAGCCGATCTTCCACGATGTTGCAATCTGGCACAGGCGAAAGGTTCGGGAAGCAGGCCCCACGCGCTCTTCTCGCTTTTGAGTATGCAGTAATCCGAAGTCGTTGGAGGCCGTTTCGTGCTTGTGTTTTCGTTCGCAACACACTCAGCCCTCAGCATTTCATCATATTTTATCGCCCAAGGCTTGTAATGTTTCAAGACTCCGTTAGGTAGGACATCATACTTACGCTTCGTCTTTGTTGGGGAGCGTGTCTGTCTGACTCAGTTGGGTTCGGCGCAGGCCTGTTACTTTTGATCCTGCCCGTGGAATTTATTTAAGAGCATCTTGGAATAATTGTCTTTTGAAATCTTGTGGTTTTCTTAGCCGTCAGTTTCATTGGCGGCAGGCGGAAGAGGCCTTCGAAATTGCCTAGACTTCTGGGAAGGCACCGCAATGTGTCGGGAGGGGCCCTGCCGGAGCCTCGGCCGCTCTGAGTTGATGTCTTCAGCAGTTTTAGGGCTTCAGGTTCTCTTCTCAGCGTGTAGCTAGAAGCCGTACGTTTCCTTGACTCGATTGGGGCACCCCGCTCGGCCACCGCAGTCGGGGGGAAGCGCACACCGCTTCCAGCTCCTTTCTTGTCTTGGAGACGCATAGCTGTTGAGGTTCTGGGACAGTTTATCGGTCTTACAGGGTCGTGGGTGGGTGTTGTATGACAAGTTCCTGCAGTGTAGGATTGAAAACTTGCTTGTAGCAACTGCAGGACACAACGCGGTTTCAATCAGATTGATCGCTTTGGTGGCGACGACGCCGCAGTCTCAGGCCTTGCCAGACCGCACTTTCGGTTCCAAGTTGTCGCTCATTCTCTTGGAGGGCCATATAATGCCATATAGAAAATCTGCTGCGGATGCTGGCCATGACTATTTTCATGCGTTCCGCAAGGGCCAGGGCGGGAATCTGCTGATCAGACGGACGCAAGCCCATGCAGATTGTGACGGTAAGTGGTCAAGTAGGTTAGTGCAGACACGGCGGTGAGCGCCAGTGCGTGCGTATAGGAGCTTACATGCTTAAGTAAGGGTGGGAATAAGTCCGCTGATTAGACGAAGGGCTCTGTGCACGCAAACCCGTCTGTGAGGGCATATGCTAATAATGGCCTCCCAAGGACCCCATTGGGCACACACGGCTGTCAGTGCAAATGCAGGTGTTTCGGAGGCTATTCGCAAAGGCAACAGTGGGAATGAATCCGCTGATCTAGTGCGTTGCGTTGCGTGTTCTAGCTTTTTCGTAATACCAAAAAAGACCGGCAGACCTTGCTGTAAGAGCAAGTGCTTGCACGGCGGACAGATGTGGGAAGGACACCGCTCATCCAAAGGGGGCGGGGTGTGAGGCTAAAATTGGGCTCATTATTAATCTGTCTTTTGTACTGTGGCGAGGAAATGATGCTCTAAATCCTTATACAGAACAGTCAGTTTCCAAACACACCCTATTGGTGTTGCCTGGGTTGGTCGGGGCAGACAATAGGATAGTTTATATATGTTCAATATTGGGGTGGGTTCCCGACCCTGCACCCACCCCCGCCAAGATTTGAATTGTGTCGTCTTTTTAGCTTATTTACTGCCCAGCCCGAATTACATAATCTAAATGCACAAACTTTGCGGCCGATGTTTGCGGTTGGCTGTCCGAGATGCAAAAACTATGCACCCGATGTTTGCGGTAGGCTGTCCGAGATGCAACAACTTTGCGGGCGATGTTTGCGGTTGGCTGCAAGAGATGCAAAAACTACGCGGCCGATGTTTGCGGTAGGCCGTCCGAGATGCAACAACTTTGCGGCCGATGTTTGCGGTTGGCTGCAAGAGATGCAAAAACTACGTTCTGCTTGTACTACAGTACGTGGGTGGTAGTATGTGGCAGTACGTGGTAATACGTGGTAGTAAGTAGTACGAGGCCGACATCTAAGAGTGGCTGCCCGCGATGCAAAAACTTCTTTGCATCTCGGGCCGCCGACTCCAAACATCGGCCGCGGCAGTGCAGTACTGTAAGTGGAATGAACAAGTAAAATAGTATAAAATAGTAAAACAGAAGAATAGGACAGCCGACAAGCAAGGGTGGCTGCCCGAGATGCAAAACTACGTTCTGCTGTAGTATACGTGGTGATACGAGGCCGACATCTAAGAGTGGCTGCCCGCGATGCAAACACGTTTTTGCATCTCGGCCGCCAACCCAAAACATCGGCCGCGGCAGTACTGTGTGTGGAGTGAAATAGCAAAATCGTAAAATAGCAAACAGTAGAATAGGAAGGCCGACATGCAAGGGCGACTGCCCGAGATGCAAAAACTACGTTCTAGCTGTAGTAGGTGGTAGTATGTGGAATTACATGGTAGCACGTGGTAGTACGAGGCCGACACCTAAGAGTGGCTGCCCGCGATGCAAAATTTCTTTGCATCTCGGGCCGCCAACCCTAAACATCGGCTGCGGCAGTACTGTATGTGGAGTGAAATAGCAAAATCGTAAAATAGTAAAACAGCAGAATAGGAAGGCCGACATGCAAGGGTGGCTGCCCGAGACGCAAAAACTACGTTCTAGCTGTAGTTGTAGTACGTGGTAGTACGAGGCCGACATCTAAGAGTGGCCCGAGATGCAAAAAAGAACCCCGAACATCGGCCGCGGCAATACTGCATGTGGAGTGAAATAGTAGAATAGTAAAACAGTAGAATAGGAACGCCGACATGCAAGGGTGGCTGCCCAAGATGCAAAAATTACGTTCAACAATTGTTTTGGCATCTCGGGCGGCCAACCCTGCATGTCGGCCCACCTTTTGGCATGTCAGCCGAACACATGAAAGCAAGAATGGTTTTTGCATGTCGGACCACCTTTTTGCATTTTCCGGCAGCCAACCCTGCATGTCGGCCAACCAGTTCCCAAAGAATCTACTGATCAGTCGGGCGCGCTGTGAGCGCAAGCCCGCGCAGATGGCGGTATGTGGCTGCGTAGATTAGTATTATAGTACTGGCCTCCCATGCAATCTATGCAAGGAACCCACTGGGCAGACACGGCTTTGAGCGCAAGTGCGTGCGTATAGGAGCCTACATGTTTGGGTACAGATTTCGCAAAGGCAAAGCTGGGAGAAATCCACTGATCAGACGACGGGGCCCATGATGGTGTGGCAGGTTGTGCTGATGTGTGCTAGGACGACCGCTCTCCAAGGAACCCACTGCGTTGCTCTGAGCTTCCGTTAAAGACGAAGACGATTTGGCGAAGCCGAGGGTGGGAAGGAATCTGCTGATCAGGCGGGGGGCCGTGAGCGCAAACCCATGCGAATATGGAGGTAGTTTCTTGAAAGTCCGTAAACCGGCATCTTCCCCAAAGAATCGGCAGACACGGCTGTGAACGCAACGCGTTATCGTATTCTGCGAATTCTATTACTGGCCTCACAAAGAATGCATTGGCACGGCTGTGAGTGCAAGTACGTGAGCATAAGCGGCGACATGTCGGGGTACAGATTTTGCAAGGGCAGGGGTTGGGAGGAATCAACCGATCAGATGGAGGGGCCGTGAGCTCAAGCCCACGCAGATATGACGGTAGTGCTCTAGGTCTAGTAAATTTAAGTATTGGCCTCCCAAGGAACGCGGCAGACACGGCTGTGAGCGCAAGCGAGCGCGAACAGGAGCTTAGATGTTACTGTACGTGTGGGAACGAATCGCTGATCAGACGGCCGGGCTGTGAACACAAGCCCATGTCGATATGGCAGTTTGTGAACGGCCTCCCAAGGTCCAAAGAACCCACTGGGCAGACACGGCTGTGAGCGCAAGTGCGTGTGCGTAGGAGGCTATTCGCAAAGGCAAGGCGGGATTGAATCCGCTGAGCCCATGCGTGTAGCGCAGTGCCTTCCCGAGGCATCAGCAGACACGGCACGGCTGTGAAGTGCGTGAGCAGCGGTCGGGTGTCGCAACGGCAAAGGCAGCAAGGACACCGCTGGGCAGACAGGGCTGTGAGTGCTGCGTGCGCAGAATCGGCGAGTGGTGCAGATTTTGCAAAGGCACGGGCTGCGAGTGCTGATCAGACGGGCGGGCGGCGAGCGCAAGCCGCATATGGCGGTACGTGGTGTGGTAAGCTAGTACTGGCCTCCCAACGAACCCACTGGGCAGACATGGTTGTGGGCGCAAGTGTACAGATTTCGGTGGAGACGGTTTTGCAAAGGCGAGGGCAAGGGTGAGAAGGAATCCGTTGATCAGGCGGCAGGTGGGGCCCGTGAACTCGTGAACGCAAGCCCCTGTACGTGTTCTCGAAATCGCGTAACCCGGTGCCTTACCCAAGGAATCGGCAGACACGGTTGTGAGCGCAACGTGATATCGCATATTCCCACGTGGATATTGCAGCTTGTGTTGACGTATGCTACTAACGGCTTCTACTAACGGCCTCCCACAAGTTCCGAGGAACCCACTGGGCAGACACGGCTGTGAGCGCAAGTGCGTGTGTGATCGTGTGCGTAGGAGGCTATTCGCAAAAGCGGGGCGCGGATTGAATCCGCTGAGCCCATGCGGGTTGCGCGGTACGTGGTCTGGGTCTCTGGTAAACCACAGTGCCTTCCCGAGGCATCAGCAGACACGGGACAGCCTTGACGTGCGTGAGCAGCGGTCGCGTCTCGCAAAGGCAATGGCGGTAAGGACACCGCACTCATCACCAGAGGGGTGTGCGTACTGAGGCTATTTAGCATATAGTAGTGGCTTCCCCAAGGAACCCACTGGGCAGACACGGCTGTGAGTGCAAGCGCGTGCGTAGAATGGTGCAGATTTCGCAAAGGCACGGGTTGGAAGTGCTGATCAAACGGGCGGGCGGCGAGCGCAAGCCGCAAGCCCACGCGTAAATGGCGGTACGTGGTGTGGTAAGCTAGTACTGGCCTCCCAACGAACCGGACACGGCTGTCGGCGCAAGTGTACAGATTTCGGTGAAGACGGTTTTGCAAAGGCGAGGGCAAGGGTCGGAAGGAATCCGCTGATCAGGCGGCAGGCGGGGCCCATGAGCGCAAGCCTCTGCAAATATGGTGGTACGTGTTCTAGAAATCGCGTAACCCGGTGCCTTACCCAAGGAATCGGCAGACACGGTTGTGAGCGCAACGTGATATCGCATATTCCCATGTGGATATTGCAGTTTGTGTTGACGTATGCTACTAACGGCTGCTACTAACGGCCTCCCACAAGTTCCGAGGAACCCACTGGGCAGACACGGCTGTGAGCGCAAGTGCGTGTGTGATCGTGTGTGTAGGAGGCTGTTCGCACAAGCAAGGCGCGGATTGAATCCGCTGAGCCCATGCGGGTAGCGCGGTACGTAGTCTGGGTTTCTGGTAAACCACAGTGCCTTCCCGAGGCATCAGCAGACACGGCACGGCTGTGAAGTGCGTGAGCAGCGGTCGAGTCTCGCAAAGGCAAGGGCGGTAAGGACACCGCACTCATCACCAGAGGGGGTTGTGAGTAAGAGGCGATTTAGCACATAGTAGTGGCTCCCCCAGGAACCCACTGGGCAGACACGGCTGTAAGTGCAAGCGCGTGCGTAGAATGGTGCAGATTTCGCAAAGGCACGGGCTGGCTGCGAGTGCTGATCAGATGGGCGGGCGGCGAGCCCAAGCCGCATATGGCGGTACGTGGTGTGGTAAGCTAGTACTGGCCTCCCAACGAACCCACTGGGCAGACACGGCTGTGGGCGCAAGTGTGCAGATTTCGGTGAAGACGGTTTTGCAAAGGCGAGGGCAAGGGTGGGAAGGAATCCGCTGATCAGGCGGCAGGCGGGGCCCATGAGCGCAAGCCCTTGCAAATATGGTGGTACGCGTTCTAGAAATCGCGTAACCCGGTGCCTTACCCAAGGAATCGGCAGACACGGTTGTGAGCGCAACGTGATATCGCATATTCTCATGTGGATATTGCAGTTTGTGTTGACGTATGCTACTAACGGCTGCTACTAACGGCCTCCCACAAGTTCCGAGAAACCCACTGGGCAGACACGGCTGTGAGCGCAAGTGCGTGTGTGATCGTGTGTGTAGGAGGCTGTTCGCACAAGCAAGGCGCGGATTGAATCCGCTGAGCCCATGCGGGTAGCGCGGTACGTGGTCTGGGTTTCTGGTAAACCACAGTGCCTTCCCGAGGCATCAGCAGACCAATCCTAAAAAAGGGGCGAGGGAGGGCTCGCGGGCCGCAGGGCACCAAGGTTGGTTGAAAGCTTGACTTTGGGCCTTGGTTTCTTTTTCTCTGTGTACAGAAAGCATTCGATGCGAGTGCTGAGCCAGCTCCAGATACCGACACGTTCTCGCAAGCTGGACTTGCAAGACTCCCCAAGTGCAATCCTCGTAAGAGCCGTGCGAGCCGAAGAATTGGAATCCAGAAAGCCTTTCCGTACCGATTGGTTATCCCAAGCATCATGACAAGCATCAAAGCACATGCCTGCGCTTCCGTGGCAGGCGTATACGAGCTTTGACGAGGTCCATGGCTTGGTTGCGCATGACAGGTCGGGTGCTCGGGTGCTGATGTCGCGCAAGCTTGCGGAAACCTTTCCGAAGTTTTCCGAAGACATCTTCACTGACTTGCAGGCGCATACTTGGAGGTTCATGGGGAGTTAAAAGTGGGGTTATAAGTCAGGCAACCATAGTTATAATTAGTTGTAACCCATACTAGGGGATTTATAACCCCACTTATAACTACCCATGACCTCCAAGTAAGTACAGATCGAGAGTAGCGGCTGGCAAAGCGGTTGCTCGTGTTGGGTTTGGACGGACGGGGATCAAGGCAGGAGACGACATGCATTTTCCAAGCCCACCATGGGCCTTACTAGTAGCATCTAGTACACGTCCGCCTCGGAGGCCCAGAACTTTTTCGCTGCATTTCGCTGCTTTCGGCTTCTAAGTAGGACTTCAGGGCGGTTGAGTAAGGTTTCCTGCCCACCATTTGAGGAGACGGGGGTGACAAAGAATTCGTGAGCGCCAAGGCCCAGGCTGCAGAATCTCGGAGCCGAACGAGGCCAAAGAATGGCTGAGTCACTGGTTTTTTGCTATTCGAGTCAGCTTGTGCAGTCTGCAAACACTGATCTGGTAAGCGCGACGCGCGTGTGCCCTCTGTGCGGAGGGTTTGCCTTCTTTGGACGCTCAGATGATTTGCTGCATCTCACTGCCAACGCTGCGCTTGCTCATGCGAGGCGGAAGCTTTCGAAGCTCTCTCTCAAAACGCTCGCGGCCAAGTTTTTTCGGTGGCAGGATCGATGGACAGACTTACTGCAGGTGTCGCCGCCCCCCACAAGCCCGCGAAGTGACGGTGCGTCGTGCTGAGTGCTAAGGCTTCAGCTTGGGCAGTGCCGGTGTCCTCGAGGCCACAGACAGCCATGCAGCTTGTCTATGGTGGGGCTGTGGGTTCAGGCAGTTTTGCAGAGCTTTGCAGTTGAGTTCGCGACACGAATCCGGCCGGCTCAGTTAGCTTCAGTTTGCATGCTCTCGGACTCCTCGAGGTTTCTATTGGGCTGTGTGCTGCCGGTGAATTCCACAGGTTTACTCTGCAATCCAGTCCTCGCTTGTATCCCGAAAATTTCACGCGAGGAGTTGCATTGGAAGCACGTTTTAAACGTTCTTCAAAACAAGTTCCAGCTCAGCCCAGGCAGCATTGACTTGTTGTTTATCCTGTAGATCAGGTAGGAGTTTGCCGAGACATGCGGCTAGCGAGAAGGGTGTAAAAGCGGCGTTGTTGGATGCGTAGCCGCGTAGCAATCGCGGATGGTTGAGCTTCCACTCGATCTCCGATGCTCTCCTGCACATGGGAAGCCAAGAAGCGAGAAGCCAAGGTGCTGGAGGCAGCGGTCTTCATATGGTACCGAAGGCATGGTTCTGAGCCTCTGCACGCTGGGAGGCACCGGGAAGTACAGAACGTGTCTCCACCATGTCACAGTATCACTGCCTGAGCCTCTGCGCAGCATGTCAAGGTATGCAAATCCAGTGAAGACCTAGGGATGCAGATCTTTCGCAGTGTGTTCCGTCGTTCTCCGTCCTGTTTGTCACCACTTTAGACAACGGGTTCGTGATTGATCCGTGCTCGTTCTGTTCATACTGAGTTTGAATTGCCGTATTTTCAGAGATTTGCTTCAGGCTTCTTGGTTCGCTGTGACGCTTGGGTGGCTCCTTCATTGTGACGAGCCTCGACTAGGTTCAACATGTTCTCGCCGTGGCTGCCAAAGTGGTTTTTAGCAGGAATCCTACAAGATTCCCTTTAAAAGGGTTTAGGGTTCTGGATTCCTATGAGTGTACCTTGGAGGTGACTGTGAGGGGGTACTACAGTGAGTTCGGTCCTGTCAGTGTTCTCGCTGGCAAGGCTTACTATTATTACTATCATTACTATTATTACTATTATTATTATTATTACTATTATTACTATTGTTACTATAATTACTATTATTACTATTGTTTATTCAACGTGGAATGTCGGGGATACCCGGCCCTTTCGCGCACAATGGAAGCGAAGAGACGCACATCTACTTTTTGACATCTTCCATGCGAAGTGTCAGCTGACACAGAGAGGTTCATACTCGTATTATGCGGGTTTATACTATGTGGGCCAAGGAAGGACTGCGGGCCATCGGCAGCCATAATATGACTTTTTTGGGGTTCTTTATCATCATGGCATAGCATTCCCGAAAACCCTTGTTTTGTGTGACTGTCCTGCGTTGCTTCAAGGAAGCGCTCCTCGATGTCCGGCGGCCCTGCGTCCGGAGCTTGGGTGAGAATGAATCCATGTTAAGATGTGGGAGTTTCCAAAAGTAATTAGGGGATCCCAATATAGTACCCTAAATAGTAGGATCCTTACGATAAGAATCTCAAAATAAGGACCCCCCGTTTTCGGAAACTCCCATGAAAGTGTAGGTGTCAGTCGCGGCACGAACTGCACCAGTCGGAGGCAAGTGAGTGGCCTCTGTTTCTTCGCAGTTTCGCTGGGAATCCTCTCAGTACCGTCGACTAGTACTATAGTCATAGTAGTAGCCATCATAGTAACCCTTATAGGGCCCTTTTAAAGGAACCCCATATTCTAGCTATTGAGGCTTTTTATTAAGTTTACTTCTTTGCAGCTCTTCCCAGGACTGGCAGGCGGATGCAGAGACCAATCCCAAGGCAGGGTGCAGCGGTGCAGTGCAGTGCCGACATGTTCACACTGGGCCTGCATCAGTGGATCTATGCCACAGGTTCCTTGCAGCCGGCTCGAGTTTAGCACGTAGCACGGGATCAAAGCTCAGCTTCCGTGGACCTCCCCGACCTTGCGACTCAGACATGCAGGGCCGCACTTTTAAAGGCAAAGTGCTGCTAGCGGCCTTGGTTGTGCTCGCGCATGTGTCGAACGCGAATGGGGAGCACCTGGGAAATGCAAGCTGTGCTGACGACGACGGTCAGGCCCTCTTACAAGCACGAAAATGTACTGACGTGTTACCACCCGTGCCGGTCGTCCCTGCTGACATCGAAGTGGACAACGCCCCTGGCGAGTGCTTTGCCGTGGTGACCTACACTTCTCCGACCGCGACGGACGACTGTGACTGGGTTCTTGTTAAGGAATATAGTTGAAGTTACCATAACAGAGATCTGTAGTAAATGATATGGTTGCTTTGTTCTGGTAGTTGAAATGAAATCCCTTAACAAGAACCCAGGTGACCCGAACCCCTCCATCTCGCAGTCCGGCGGCCTGGGTTCTGGCGAAGAGTTCCCAGTGGGCAGCACGACGGAGACCTTCACAGCGACCGACAACACTGGCAAATTTGACTCGGCCAGTTTCCATGTTGAGGTGAAGGACAGCGAGGACCCGGACATGACGCCTGTTCCTGAAAACATCCACGTGAACACAGCCCCAGGCCTGTGCACCGCCGTGGCGACCTTTGCTACACCTACGGCAACGGACAACTGTCCGAATGCAATGATAGATCTCACTGCAGGCAAGGCATCCGGCTCAACCTTTGACCTGGGCGTGACGACTCAGACCTTCACTGCGACCGATGCTTCGGGAAATTCTCTCTCTCGGACATTTTCCATGTTGTTGTCAGTGACAACGAGAACCCAGGCATCGCAGGCCTGCCGAGTCCCAGTACGCATGACAACGATGTGGGCCTGTGTGGGGCCACCGTGAACTACGCTGCTCCTACCGCGACCGACAACTGTCCGCCAGCGACGATTGCACGGAACAGCGGGCCCGGCTCCGGTGACTTTTTCCCAGTGGGCGTCACTCCTGTGACTTTCATTGCGACTGATGCTTCTGGCAACACTTTCAGCGGCACCTTCGCTGTTACGGTCAATGACAACGAGCCCCCGGTGCCGAGTGTGCCTGCAAACATCGTGGTGAACAATGACCCTGGTGTGTGTGGGGCCAACGTGAACTATGCTCCTGCCACCGCAACGGACAACTGTGCAGTAGCGTCGATCGTCGTGACCAGCGGGTCTGGCCCCGGCGATTTCTCGGTTGGCCCCGCCACCACAGAGACCTGGACTGCGACCGATACTGCTGGCAACGCTGCAAGCAGTAGCTTCACTGTTCAGGTCAATGACGTCGAGGCCCCCTCAGCGCCGAGTGTGCCTGCAAACATCGTGGTTCCCAATGACGCTGGTGAGTGTGGGGCCGACGTGAGCTACACTACTCCTACCGCAACGGACAACTGTGCAGCGACGGTCACACTGACCAGCGGGTCTGGCCCCGGCGGTTTCCCGGTGGGCCCCGCCACCACAGAGACCTGGACAGCGACCGATGATGCTGGCAACACTGCAAGCAGTAGCTTCACTGTTAAGGTCAATGACGAAGAGCCCCCAGTGCCGAGTGTGCCTGCCAACATCGTGGTGAACAATGATGCTGGTGTGTGTGGGGCCGACGTGAGCTACGCTACTCCTACGGCAACGGACAACTGCGCAGTAGCGTCGATCGTCGTGACCAGCGGGTCTGGCCCCGGCAGTTTCTCGGTTGGCCCCGCCACCACAGAGACCTGGACTGCGACCGATACCGCTGGCAACGCTGCAAGCAGTAGCTTCACTGTTCAGGTCCATGACATCGAGGCCCCCTCAGCGCCGAGTGTGCCTGCAAACATCGTGGTGAACAATGACCCTGGTGTGTGTGGGGCCGACGTGAGCTACGCTACTCCTACCGCAACGGACAACTGTGCAGTAGCGTCGATCGTCGTGACCAGCGGGTCTGGCCCCGGCAGTTTCTCGGTTGGCCCCGCCACCACAGAGACCTGGACTGCGACCGATACTGCTGGCAACGCTGCAAGCAGTAGCTTCACTGTTCAGGTCAATGACGTCGAGGCCCCCTCAGCGCCGAGTGTGCCTGCAAACATCGTGGTGAACAATGATGCTGGTGTGTGTGGGGCCGACGTGAGCTACGCTACTCCTACGGCAACGGACAACTGCGCAGTCGTCCGTCATGCTGACCAGCGGGTCTGGCCCCGGCGGTTTCTCGGTGGGCCCCGCCACCACAGAGACCTGGACAGCGACCGATGATGCTGGCAACACTGCAAGCAGTAGCTTCACCGTTAAGGTCAATGACGTCGAGCCCCCTGTGACGAGTGTGCCTGCAAACATCGTGGTGAGCAATGATCCTGGTGTGTGTGGGGCCGACGTGAACTACGGTTCTGCCACCGCAACGGACAACTGTGCAGTAGCGTCCGTCATGCTGACCAGCGGGTCTGGCCCCGGCAGTTTCTCGGTGGGCCCCGCCACCACAGAGACCTGGACAGCGACCGATGATGCTGGCAACACTGCAAGCAGTAGCTTCACCGTTAAGGTCAATGACGTCGAGCCCCCTGTTACGAGTGTGCCTGCAAACATCGTGGTGAGCAATGACCCTGGTGTGTGTGGGGCCGACGTGAACTACGGTTCTGCCACCGCAACGGACAACTGTGCAGTAGCGTCCGTCATGCTGACCAGCGGGTCTGGCCCCGGCAGTTTCTCGGTGGGCCCCGCCACCACAGAGACCTGGACTGCCACCGATGATGCTGGCAACGCTGCAAGCAGTAGCTTCACTGTTCAGGTCCATGACATCGAGGCCCCCTCAGCGCCGAGTGTGCCTGCAAACATCGTGGTGAACAATGACCCTGGTGTGTGTGGGGCCGACGTGAGCTACGCTACTCCTACCGCAACGGACAACTGCGCAGTAGCGTCCGTCATGCTGACCAGCGGGTCTGGCCCCGGCAGTTTCTCGGTGGGCCCCGCCACCACAGAGACCTGGACTGCGACCGATGATGCTGGCAACACTGCAAGCAGTAGCTTCACTGTTAAGGTCAATGACAACGAGCCCCCAGTGCCGAGTGTGCCTGCAAACATCGTGGTGAACAATGACCCGGGTGTGTGTGGGGCCAACGTGAACTATGCTCCTGCCACCGCAACGGACAACTGCGCAGTACAGTCGGTCGTGCGGACCAGCGGGTCTGGCCCCGGCGATTTCTCGGTGGGCCCCGCCACCACAGAGACCTGGACAGCGACCGATGATGCTGGCAACTCTGCAAGCAGTAGCTTCACCGTTAAGGTCAATGACGTCGAGCCCCCTGTGACGAGTGTGCCTGCAAACATCGCGGTGAACAATGACCCTGGTGTGTGTGAGGCCGTCGTGACCTATACCGCTCCTACTGTGACGGACAACTGTGGAGCGACGATTGCACTGACCAGCGGACCTAGCTCCGGCTCAAGTGTAACAGTTGGCAGCACTGATGTGACCTTCACTGCGACCGATGGGGCTGGCAACACCGGAAGCGGCACTTTCACTGTTACGGTCACTGACAACGAGCCTCCTGCTCTCGAGGTTGAGGATATCGAGGTGGAGTCCTGCAGTCCGACCGTGGTCACATTTTCTCCCACAGCGACTGACAACTGCCCAAATGTGCAAGTCTCCTGTACTCCGGCGTCCGGATCCGAGTTCCCCGTCGGCGAGACAGAGGTGATTTGCACTGCAGCCGACGGAGCTGGTGGACAAACACAAGCCAGTTTCGACGTTGAGGTGGAGTGTGTTGCCAATGATGGCCCCGGTGATGGCACTACAAGTACCAAAGCTCCCACTTACTACCGGAAGCGCCGTGGAGGACACTTCCAGAACATTCGCAAGAACATCCGCAAGAGCATCCGCCATCACGTCAAGAAATGGCTGCACGGACAGTGAGACTGCCCCCGGGGGGGACGCTCGGGACTCCCTGAGCCGAGCGTGTAACGGCTTCACCCATTTTAACTCTCTTAGAAGAGGGGTGTGACTGGCTGGCTCTGGGCTTAAAGGGCTTAGAAGCTTCAACACTCGTTCAAGACTCGTCCAACCTGGAGTTGATTAGGCTCAGTTTCTACCGCCATACCAGACGTACGAGCCACTCACACCCCAGATTGCAGCACTGGGCTTTTAAATTCCCTTCATGCCAGGACTGTGAATGGCGTGTTAGTTGTTCAGGGAACAGCTGACGAGCCCCTGCCGGTCGGGAAAGCAGGAGCTGCATCTTTTTCTGAGGTTCTGGCGACTTGTCCCGAGCGTCAACTCATGAGAGGCGCGGGAAAGATCAAATCCGCCGTTTTGCTGTATAGTCCTAGCTTTTATCAATCTGGTATAGCTACATTGCATCCATAAAATCGTTTGGAGCTCAGTCCACTTTGCATTTTCCGTTTAATGTGGACACGAGTTGCCGAGACATCCGAGACATGCAGCCAGTGAGAAGGCCGCAAAAGCAGTGTTATCGCATTCGGCAGCATAGCAAGGATTGAGATGTGAATGCGCTTGATTTCCAAGAGCACTGCAGCACATGCGAACCCTGAGCGAGAGCCCGAAGGTGCTGGTGGGTGGCAGCCAGTGGTAATCGCGATGGGACTTTGGGCTGGAGAGGCCGCCGAAGAGCATGTCCCCAGAGACTCCAATATCCCTTAATTAAGGAATATTCCTTAAATCATACTAGGGATCCTACTATAATTTAAGGAATATTCCTGAATTAAGGGATATTGGAGTCTTTGGGTCGTGGATGTGACGGTACCACGGTCATCTCGTGTCCGGCGCTTCCTGAGCCTGTAGGGTGCATTCAGACAGCACAGGTCATGTAGCTCGTTTTCAAGCCATGGAGCCAAGCCTACTTGGAGGTTCATGGGGAGTTATAAGTGGGTTTATCAGTAATGTAACTATACTTACAATCCATATTAGGGGACTTATAAGCCCACTTATAACTACCCTTGAACTTCCAAGTAGAATGTTCAGAGCATCTCAGCAACTCCTCCAGGCTTTTTAGGGCCTGGTGCTGGATCCTGCGACGGGTGTGATCAGGGGCCAATGGCCAGCCCGTGGCAGAGTGAGGGCCTGAACTGTCAAATCAGAGCTATGGTTTCTGCACTGCTTGTTCGATGACCGCACCGGGATATGATGGAAATGATTGTGGGCGATCTACGATTGAATTGGCAGCGGCGGTGGCGGTGGTGCTTCGTTGCTGGTGCTGGTGGTGGTGGTGGTGGTGGTGGTGGTGGTGGTGGTGGTGGTGCGGGTGGCGGTGGTGGTGCTGGTGATGTGGTGATGATGATTTTCAAGCTTCATGGAGACGACAATGTTGACGGATGGTGATGGTGATGACGATTATCATTATTGTTATTTTGTTGTTATTGTTATTATTATAATATAATATCATTACTATTATTACTATTCTACTGTTATTATTATTAATATGGTTTTTGTCGATGTTTGGGATGATGATGCTGGGCTTAGCCTTTCATTCAGGCGCAGTCTTGGCACATGCTGCACGGGAGTTGTGTCAGGCTGTTGGATGTCAAGATTGTCAATCACCGGTTCGTGACACTTCTGTGCTCGTGCCGTTGATGACGCTTGTGAACTGTCGCAGCACTTCAGATGCACGCTTATGGCTTCTGTTTGGGTGGGGCATTCACTGTGCTGCGGCTCCAAGAGTTCCAGCTATGCCTGAAAGTCAGCGTGCTCGCGCCGCGGCTGCCAAAACCCGTTTTCCGAGCCAGGTCGTGTTTGGAAAATCAATCTCCGAGCTTGTTGGAGGCGGCTGACCGACACTAGTAACGGCGTTCCTCTTGCCTCTTTCTGCTTGGAGATGCCATGGCTAACATTTGTTGCTTCTCGAGTGCTGTGTATGCATTGCTTTTTGGTGTTGCATGTCACAGCCTACCCCATGGTTCATTTGTTTACCCGCCCTGTTGCCACGCAACGTTTTCAAGATTCAACAACTGATGCCCAGCGCAATGTTCCTGTGGACATTGCAGGTTTGGGGTCCGCGCGGCGCGGGTGTCCTTGCGAAGGGCTTCGACGTTGAGCACCCGATGCCCAAGCCTTTGCCCACGGGGCGGTATCCCGCAGGAGCTACCCATCCACCCAGTTTTCCTGGACCCCACCACAGCAGGTTGCTCTCGCATTGCTTTGCCGCTAGTCTTGAAGCATGCGCTCACAAGGGTCTCGGAAACTCTGCCAGAGTACCTTCCTGCTTTTTTTCGGGAGCTGTTGAAACATATCGTGAAGTGGTGGTCAGCCTCATGTGCTACATTGATCGCGAGCCGTGCGAAGGCGGGGAGATGTGATGGTGGTAGTGTAAGCACTCCGATAAGCCCCTCCGACATCCTCCGACGCTTCCTTGGCTTGGGCTTTTTCCTTTTGTGGGCGGTCCATTCTTTCAAAAAGACGAAGCTGGCTGCTGCATCACGCTCGACACCGGCACCGATTCCCTGATTGGGACCTCCCTTGCACCCTGATCCGGCCTTGTCTGTGCCCCCGCACCCCAAAAATATTTGTGCAACTTGATGTTCTACATATACGATGCTGAACGTGAAGCGAGGGAGGGCTCAGATATATTCCTATAGACCCGAAACCTTCAGAAGTTTGGCCGAGCAGCGCGGTGCAACGGCCTGTTTCGTGGTCCGTTTCGTAGGACATCGCAGGATGGAGGGTCGCCCTGAGGGCGTTCTGCATTGAAATTCAACAATGGCATACCCAAAAGCCTCATTCTAATCACGGGGCCCCCGAAATTCGGGTATCATGGGGGCGATCTTCGGCAGCACCTCCGGGGGCCCAAGGCACCGGCACATTGGCCTTCCGTCTCGAGCCCAAGGCCGCTGCCAGAGATCTTGGATATGTAGCTCTTCGAAGCTCCCGGGTTTCGCTCCACACTAAAGTAAAAGCCAGAAAGTTGGAATATGATTATCCTAAACCCTTTATGGTAAATTAGAAGGTATCCTACCCTGAAACCATATTCCAACTTTCTGGAGTTCCCTTTAGGCTTCTTTCTTAACATCTTTTAGGGCTGGGCCAACAACGGCCCGAGTGCAACATCACAAGCTGAACATGAGCCCTCCACTCGCAATGGAAGATCGACGCCGGAATGGACGACTGGGCACTCATTCGCATCACAGGATTCGCAGGCTTTTCGATTCATCTTGCCTTTTCTTGAATGGCGCCAGCCATGGTGGCAGCGCAGGCTGAATGGTCCCATGAACCGCGCAGGCCAACATCTTGAAGCACTGGTCTCTCTGCGTTTGAACCGCTCTCGCTCCTCCTCCCAATTTTCATCCCAAGCGGCGACCGTCATAGGAGTTGGAGCACTATCAACACGCTACGTCTAGGACACTGGGACAATCAAAGCTCCCACCAGCACCTGCGCATGCACCGCAATTGGTATATACTTGAATGATGTTGCCTGTGCTGCTCCAAATTTGACTGGCAAGTTGAATCTATCCGCTGAGGGCTGCACTGGCAGTTTCTGCAGAACGCTTTTCAAGGATGGCACCCAAAGCCGTACTGGCGACTGCCTGCACTACAACTAACAAGTTGACGCCTCGCCCAACCCGCAGTCGCCGTGCAGACGGCAGGAGGGGCACCGTGCGCCTCACATGCACCACGGTCTCGCACCAGCGGCCGCCAACCTCGGAGCTGCGCACAACGAGCATTCGTTCAGGGCACGCGGCGTGCTCGCGGCGCTTGCGCACCCGCACCTGCATCGCCAGCAGCCGCTGCGCATGGCTGCGGGTGCCCCGAACGCTTGAGTGGGGACACCAGTGTGGCGTCGCAGCATTGCGCCCCCGGCTGCGCAGCGCCCCGTGCACGACGAGGTCGAGCCTGCGACGGTCCTGCGCGCATGCGGGGCGGTGGTGCAGGCCAGCTGCGGTGCGCCACCGCCCTTCTGCATGCGATCTGCCGCCCACGCTCGCGCGAAATTCTTGTGTCCGATTGGAGTTCCAAGGACAATCAGGATTCTCCAAGCCAGTGGCTTGTCACCTGGCCACACCGCGGCTTTCATTGCAGAGATGCCGGGAGGCTGGGGGCTTTCTTCCAGCGCGAACGCCTTTGTTTGTAAGGGTCGTCGAGAAAGGGAGGCAGGGCATCATCGCGGTGCAGCTAGGGCTTGACAGAGCGCTTCGTGTTGTCTAATTGCGAACAGCCCCCAGCGCAAAAGCATCACTTTGCTCGCGGATAGCTGCGCCGTAGCTGTAGCGAGCCAATCCGCCTCTGCAGCGAACGCGCCAACCTCGTCGATGCTCTTCTGCAAGGAGTGTCCGGAAGCCTGGGATTCCCTGCCAAGCTTGATCGGCCGTGCTGGTGAGGTGGCTGCAGGAAAAGCATAAAGACCGAGAAGCAATGCATGCCGGGCTGGACGCGCCAAGGCAGAGCAGCATCTTGGTGCGGGACTGCGGAGGCATGCATGCTGGCGGTATCCTCGTCCAGTGTCTCGGAGATCGGCTCGGCTGCCAAGGGCAGCCTGTCCGGCAGTTAGCTCATTTGGGCAAGCATGCAAGGCACGGGCACGTTGGCTGCTCCGGCTCGCTCGCAGGGCGGGCCTGGTATGGTCTGGTTGCAATCCTTCGCCTATAGGCGTGGCCCACGGTACGTGTCATGCCACTACGTGTGTGAAATTTCCCTGTCTTGAAGCGCCGTGTTGACATGTCCTCATGCGAGCGTAGTTTTTGTGTTAGTTCTGAACGCACCCTGTACGACAGACGTCTTGGGCTCAGACCAAAAAGTGTGCTCGTTTGCGTGGTTGGACACTCACTAATCCAGTTCCTGCTTCAAACTGGTAGCGGAGCTGTGAGGACAACCACTAGTGTTTCACCCCCGTTGAGCCTGTGGTCCGGGGTCCGTTGGGTAGAGTAGTGATAGTCGCGGCGCAAAGGCCCCTTCTATCCTCGAAGCCATGAGCGTGGCAGGTTTGCGTTACCAGCCCAATCTCTGGTCACAGAACCTGAGCCCTGCAGAAACCAAAAGCGGATCGTACATATACGACGGTTCGGCTGCTGGCTTCCATGATTGGTGCTTCCGGACACAGATCCGTGTGCTGCAGCATAAGGAGAAGCAGCGGCGCGAAGCTCTTAAGGACCTGCGTTTTGCCAAGTCGGCAAGGGCCAAGAGCGAGTCACCAAGGAAGTGGCGTGGCAGGGCAAGTCAGGGGACCAGTGCATCGCCCACAGATGGTGATGGGAGCAGCGGTATACCCGCCAGTCCGTCCAGCGCAAAACGGACTAAGCCCGCGTCCGAGGCAGAAGATGAGGATGCGGAGTCGTTGCCGTCGAACCCCAGCCAAGTGGCGGGCGACGATGAGCAGGAGCCGGACACAGATCCGGCGGTGTCCGGCGGTGTACACCTTGCAAGACGTCAAGGACGAGTCGCTCGACATGAGCGAATGCGTTAGCAAGATCCTAGAGGGTCTCCGAGGAGATGCCTTTTGCATCGCTCGCGACGTCGGCCTGGAACGTCTGCTTCGCCATGACGGCGTCGACTACCTGATAGAAGAAATCAGGAGGCAAGCCTTCCCTCTTCAATCCGAAGAGGCGTCCGAACTTTTCCGTCAGGGACAGCTCCTGACGGGCCCACTTGCAAAGCAACCTGGCGAGCCTATGTTGTCTTACATAGCCCGCCGAAAACGGTGGTGGTCGACCTTGCGTGAGCTGGATCCTGATATCCGCCTTTCTGAAGCAATGAGGGCTAATCTCCTTGTTGAGCTTTCAGGGTTGGAAAGGTCCGAGCAGCTAATGGTCAAGACCGCCGCCCGCGTACACAGCGTGGATGAGTACGCACGCGTCCTTGTTCAGCATCACTCAGTGGTGCACATGAAGGAACGTCTTCTTGCCCAGAAGGACCCTAGTGGCCCAGGTAAGACCTGGAGACGTTTCGACGCTAAGCCCCAATACCCTAAGTTCGGCTATATGGGGTATGATGGTAGTGCCGCAGATTATGGTTATCAGGAACAACAGGAATCCGCGGAAGGCTACGGTGACGGCTACGGCGAAGAAGCATACCAGGCCACAGCGTCTGGGGGAGATGATGCGGATGAATGGATTGCTGATGAGGATC